AGTACTCTTACGATCAACTATGCACCCAGCATAGTCTGAGTCACTATAACCAATTAGATCAAGACTTGACTCACTATCATACCATAGACCTAGATGCATTGTGCCAACTAAGTAACGAAAGATTCTCTTGACAGCAGTCAGATGACTTTCCTTAGGAGCACTTTGAAATCTAGCACATAGACACACACTGAATTGAATATCGGGTCTACTAGCAGTGAGATACATTAGTGACCCAATCATTCCTCTATAGAACTTCTCGTCAATTGACTTACCCGACTCATCCTTGTCTAGTTTAATCGTAGAGGCCATAGGTGTAATTGCAGCTTTTAGATTCCCAAATTCAAAACGTTTTAACATATTTTGTATGTAATTGGTTTGACTAATGAAAATACCTCGAGCTGTCTGTTTAATTTGCAAACCCAAAAAATACGTTAATTCTCCCATGGCACTCATTTCAAAAGTTTTCTTCATGATATTTTCAAAATATTCGCACAACTCTTTGCTAGAAGATCCAAATATAATGTCATCAACATATATTTGAACCAGTAGCATATGTTGTCCTTTAATTTTTATAAAGAGAGTTTTATCCACTGAGCCCCTCTTAAAACCTTCTCCTAAAAGAAAAGAGCTAAGTTTTTCATACCAAGCTCGAGGAGCTTGTTTAAGACCATATAGTGCCTTCTTTAATTTATAGACATGGTTTGGGTATCTAAAGTCTTCAAAACCAGGTGGTTGTTCAACATACACTTCCTCTTTTAAATCTCCATTTAAAAAGGCACTCTTGACGTCCATTTGAAAGAGTTTGAAACCCTTAGAGCTAGCAAACGCACATAACATTCTAATAGCCTCTAATCTAGCTACTAGAGCAAAGGTTTCATCGAAATCAATTCCCTCTTCTTGATTATACCCTTTAGCTACCAACCTAGCCCTATTTCTAGTAGCTACCCCATTTTCATTTGACTTGATCTTGTAGATCCATTTTGTCCCGATAATAACTCTATTAGGGGGTCTAGGTACTAACTCCCACACATTAGCTCGTTCAAACTGACTCATTTCATCATTCATAGCAGCATTCCAATTTTCATCATTCAAGGCTTCTTGCACGTTTTTATGTTCAATCAATGACACAAAAGCAGTATGCACAATTGAATTTCTAGAGCGAGTGACCATACCTTCATTTAGCCCTCCTATCATAAGTGAAGATGGATGACGTTTGGCAATATGAGGAGGGGGTTGTCTTACTTCATGGTCTTGCTCGATTGGAGAGTTTGTAGTACTTACAGTTTTATCTTGATCTTCAGAAATGATCGTTTTGGGTTCAGATTTCTCCGTATTTGATGTCCTTGGTAGATCATAGCTCCCACCAAGTCCAAAATCATCTTCATCTATCTCATCTGAAACCTCATTAGCAGATTCATCAAATATAACATTTATGGACTCTTCCACTTTGAGAGTCCTTTTGTTGAATACTCTATAAGCTCTGCTAGTCATGGAGTAGCCTAAAAACACACATTCATCGGACTTGGCATCAAACTTCCCAAGGTGATCTTTGGTGTTTAATGCAAAGCACTTGCAACCAAAGGGATGGAAGTAACTCAGATTGGGTTTTCTTCCTCTCCAAATCTCATAAGGAGTCTTCTTAATTCCAGATCTGATCAAAGCTCGATTAGTAATATAGCATGCAGTATTTATGGCTTCAGCCCAGAAGTACTTAGGCACACAATAGTCATGTAACATTGTTCGAGCTATGTCAATCAAAGTCCGATTTTTCCTTTCCACCACTCCATTTTGTTGCGGAGTTCGAGGAGCAGAAAAATTATGACTTATTCCTTGCTTATTACAGAAAAGTTCAAACTCTTCTGAGATAAATTCTCCACCATGATCACTTCTAATGCTAGCAACCTTAGATTGCTTTTCATTTTCCAATTTCCTAGTTAAAGACTCAAAGTTTTGAAAAGCTTCACTTTTGCTGGCTAGAAACAATACCCAAGTGAAACGAGAGTAGTCATCTACAATTACAAAAGCATAGGACTTACCTCCATAGCTTACCACATTGGTTGGTCCGAAGAGATCAAGATGAAGTAGTTCAAGTGGTCTCGATGTAGATATTACTTACTCTTGAAGCTTGACCTTGTATGCTTCCCTTTAGCACAAGCATCACAAAAGAATTCCTTTTTGCCTTTTAACTTAGGCAGACCTCTGACTAGCTCAAGATCACTAAGTTTAGACAGAATTCCTATACTCACATGCCCAAGCTTCCTATGCCAATCTATTTGATCATTCTTTTCTAATGACATAAGACAAGTTACCTTGAAACTTTCTTTATCATCTAGATCTATGACATATAACTTATTTTTACGTCTACCGGTGAAAAGCACTTTCTTATCCACCACAGACTCAATGTAGCAACAATCATGTTCAAAAATTATCCTCTTATCTTTGCCACACACATGACTAATAGAAAACAGATTATGCTTAAGACCTTTTACTAACATCACATTTTCAATGCATGGATCTGAACCGACTATTCCTCTTCCTATTATGTCGGCAAAATTGTTGTCACCAAAAAATACCTTACCACCTTTACCTTCTTTGAGAGTGGTGAATAGGTTTCGATTTCTTGTCATGTGGTGTGAGCATCCACTGTCTAATATCCATTCAGTTGCCTCCATGCTCACTTGGAAGCAAACCTGCGCCATTAGCAGTCATGCAGTTTTGGGTTTTTGTATCCAGACTTTCTTGGATACAGTTTGTTTGTGATCTTTAAGAGAACAAAATCTACTAATGTGACCGACTTGATGACAAGTAAAACAAGTTCTATATTTTTCACTTTGTATTCTCTTTCTGCATACTCGCCTAATGTGCCCAACTTTATGACAATAAAAGCATTCTATGTTTCTATATCTTGGAGTTACTGTTCCATTCCTCTCATGCTTAATTGATTCTCCAAAAATCTTCGACTTACCTTTACTACATGAATTTGATCCTAATTTTTCACAACATCCCTTAGTGGAATGATTTAGGTAAGATTTACCTTCCTTTTTCAGAGATTCAATCTTACTCCCTTCTAATGATACTTGAAGTTTTGCTGTGAGACTCGTTTTCTCATTTTCTAAAACTTCAATTTTCTTAGCAGTTTCATCTAACTCTTCTTTTAATCTAATTGCCTCCTTCTTTAATTTATCATATTCTATGTTTATTTTGGCATGATCAGATTTCAGTTTAGAGTATTTTACTTTGACATTTCCAAACTCTAACTGAATTTCCTTAATAGTGGATACTAATAGATCATCATCACTATAGTAATCACCGTCACTGAAATGAGTATGGTTGGAAGATTTTACCTCGTTTGAGTTATGTCCTTCTGATGGTTCTTCAATATCAATTGCCATGTAGCTTTCTTCTCTTGTTTCCTCTCCATCCTCATCTTCTTCTTCGCTACAGCTCCATGTTGCAGCCATGGCTCGTTCTTTTCTTGCTAGAGGACATTCAGCCTTGATATGCCCAATTTTTCCACATCTAAAGCATCCGGTAGTGATTTGACCCTTTCCCGGATGAGGTTGTTCAATCCTGCTTTTGTGGAATGTTCTTGATTGAGGATATTTTGATGTACCACCTTCTTTCTCAACTTCTCTACTCTTGTTGATGAAGTTTCCTCTTCGTTTTTCTCTTCTTACTCGAAGTAGTCTACTAATTTGTTTGCTTAGTAAAGCCAATTCTTCATCCTCCATATCATCGAGATCTTCTGTGTCTTCATTGTATGTGGTAGCCTTGAAGGCTATCCCCTTTTTCCCTTTATCATGATTTCCCTTGTTGAGTTTGTCTTCATGAGTTGCTAATGACCCGATGAGTTCATCTATAGCTAACTTCTCTAGATCTTTAGCTTCCTCTATTGCGGTTACCTTAGGAGTCCATTGCTCTGGGAGACTCCATAGAATCTTTCTAACAAGATCTCCACTTTCGTACGATTTTCCAAGATTCTCCAAGCTGTTCACAATGTTTGTGAACCGTTCGTACATTTGCCGAATAGTTTCTCCTTCTACCATCTTGAACAACTCGAATTGCTGTTTTAAGGAATTAATTCGAGAAGTTTTGACTTGAGAGGTACCTTCATAAGTAACCTGGAGTTTATCCCAGATTTCCTTAGCAGTCTTGCACCCTGCGACTTTGTGATATTCTTCTGGACCGAGAGCGCAGTACATGAGATTAGTTGCCTTGCAGTTTTGCTGAAATTTCTTGAAGTCCTCGTCAGTCCATTTTTCTTGATCCTCTTTGAGCTCATATGGACCCTTGATGACTCTAGCCCAGAGTTTTGGATCTGTAGATCCAACAAATAATTCCATGCGATTTTTCCAATATCCATAATTAACTCCTTCAAACCTGGGAGGCCGATTTTGAGAAAATCCGTCAGCCAAATAGATTGGAGCATTATTCTTGGAACCCGACGCCATTTCGATTAGCACCGGAGGTCGTTGAACCTTGTTCTACGGTGACCGTGCTCTGATACCACGTGTTGGTTGCGTCGAGCGCGAGACTTTATACCTGTCTTTCAAATAACTTGACCACAATTTAAGCTCTATGATAATGTTTGGCACAAAGAAAGATGTGAGACAGATTTAATATATGTCCTAAAACAACTAACTGCCTTCTGCTTCTTTCAACACGGCTAGGCTAATTAATTAAAGTTTCACCCTCACTTAGACAGCTAAATCGAAACCCACCTATTAGAACTTAAGTCTTACCTGAATGGGCCTATAAGCCCAATTGTTTGAGTTAGAGGAATGTAAAAACCCGAAAGCCCAGTTCAACCAATTTCTAGACCCGACCGAGCTTCTAAGTGAAGAACAAAAACGACAGAGTTTTAAATCAAACTAAGTCAACCTTTCCCGCTTGAGTGATTTCGATCAAGCTGAGACCAGTTTCTATTTGAGTGAAGAACAGGGGAAGAACTCAAAGAACACAACAGTATAAACCCAGAAAATTATGATGAAATTTAAATCAAACCAGGTCGCGATAGGTTCTCCAACCCAGATCTGACCGTTCGTCTTCCTTAGCTACTCTTGATCGAATTTCCCTGCACACTCAGACTTGAAACAGAACACACACAGAGGTGCATACAAAACTGAAACTGAAAAGCAGAATAAAAACACAGCCCACGATTTTTACGTGGTTTCCAGTATTGGGAGAATAAGAATCCCAATACTGACTACTCCACGGTCGGAGAATCACTGTTGTGTGATCTCCGACGATTCACTAAAGATATATCGATGAAGTTCGATGTAACTCTATCTACCCAAGAACACTTTGATCAATCTCAACCCGATTGATCAAACTCTCTCTTCTCAAACCCCGAATTGCTTCCCCAGCAACTCGTAACAGTGTTTCCCCAACACTAACCCTCAAAGCAATTCTCCCCGAACCCTTTGAGAAACCCCTTTTCTATCAACCTTGCTACTCTCACAAAATCCCCTTTTGTCCTAGCTAGCTTTGTTGATCTCTTGGAAAAGGTTACCATTGCTAGTTCTTCAGGTCGCCTTTTATAGGCAGGAATATGACCGTTAGTCATTCAAATTCCTTCCCTATTTGTGATGATTTGATTGAGAACACTGATGTATCCAATCTTCATGATCTGATTTCTTCTCTAATTTTTCAGCCGTTAGAACCTTCCTTCTTTGTGTTGATTTGCTAGGTGGCAAATCTGCATCTTTGACCTGTAGCTAGCCATTGGGAAGTTCTTTCCTTTATTGTTCTTGCTGATTGCAGAATCTCTCCTCCTTTATGCTGTCTTTGATTTTCTTTCCTTTACTTACAAGATTGTAGCATTTTCCTTCTTTGATTGCAGCCATTGATATGCTTGACTCAACACCATCCACCCTACTCGTCCCTGCTTCGCTCTCATGGAATGAACCACTTCCTGCCAAACACAAATATTGTCAGTAATGTGTCTTCCAGGCACGAAGCTTGTCTGCGTCTCGTCCACCAGATTATGCATGATATGCTTAATGCGCTCTGCCAGGCATTTAGTTATTAACTTGTAAGAGACATTGCACAAGGTGATTGGACGAAATTGCTCGATCAGAAGAGGCTTCTGAATTTTCGATATCAGCACTAGGATTGTGTCATTTATGGCTCGGATCCTTGCTGGTTCATGCCAGCAATTCTGCGCAAACTGCACTATCGCTGGACCTGCAATTTTCCAACATTTTTGATAAAACATCGGGGGGACGAGTTATGGTGACAACCCCTTAAGGGGTTGTGGGTTTGACAACCCACTTTATAGCCATTAGATGTATTATCTCTCTTGTCTCTCTCCTGTTATTTTTAAATTGAAGGTTGAGATGAAAAGAAGGGTGTTTTTGGGATGAAAAAAACTTACCACACCCAATCATTTTTCCTCCCATATAAAATAATAAAACCCTAATCTAACTCATGCCAACTTTACAGCCGTTCACCACCTCCTTCTTCCCTTCCTCCCTTTCTTCCGCGGACGTTGCCGTCGCCGCATCTCCCTCTTCCTCTCCCATGCCCACCGCCACCCCTGACCTCCGCCGCGCCGGCTGTCTTCACCGCCCTGCCGCGCCTGCTGTCCCCGCCATCATGATCGAGATCTACGCCGCCGCATGGCTCCGCGACGTCCAGATCGGCTCCGTCCGCGTTCTCATCAGCAACGTCCAGATCGACGTCCAGATCGTCGCGCTCCAGATCCGCCGCCCCTCCGGTCGACCGCAAGGGATCCTCTACACCGAGCTCTCTGCCTCCGGCGTCGGCTTCGGCGTCAACGACCTCCTCGACGCCAAGGCCACCGCCGGGGGTGCGAAGAATCTCGAGGAGAAGACCGCCAATGCTAGTGGTACCAATTCCTATTGGTACGCTACCACTACTCACTGGTACGTACCAGTGGCTCCCCTATCACTACTCACTGGTACCACTATCATCTGATACCACTATCATCTGTTTGTTGTGTTATTCTCTACTGGTACCGCTACCAGTGCTAGTGGTACGATACAATATGGTAGTGGCAGCGCTGTACTCGTAGCGTACCACTAGTACTAGTACATTTATTAACGCACTGGTATATTAATTACCAGTAGACTAATGGATTGGTACACTTTTTAACGCACTGGTACATTATTTCAGATTGCCGGAGGGAGTCTGCCGGAGAGAATTCGCCGGAGAAAAAGTTTGTCCGTCGATGCAGAGTGGCCGCTGGAGAAAGGAAGAGAGAGAGAGATAGATAGAGATATTAATGTATAGGATTTAAATTTCAAAAAAAATTGTATTTAATATGGGTTTTTAATTCCCAATATAATTAATACAAAAAGATAATTAATATATTCCTTTTTTTCATACCCAAAATACCCTTGGTTGTGAATCTGACAACCCCCTTAGGGGTTGTCACCGTATCCCGTCCCAACATCGGGTTCAATCCATCTGGGATACTGAATTTGTTTCTTTAATCTCAAAACATTGGCATGATGAAATTTAAAAACGAAAACAGTCATCATACTTCGGGTTCAAACCTTGAAGTACAAAACATGTTTTTTTTTTTTTTTTTGAGAAAGTTTATTTCATTTTCTTGGAAAAATGTATAAATAGCATTTCGTGTGTTTAACTCACTTTGGATGATTACATTTAAAAAAAATACATTTTTGGACAATTCATTCCCAAAAGATTACATAATTCGACACGACGTTGTGGTTGGATTGAAAAAATGATATAAGGATCACAACAAACAAAAAGTAGGATGAATAACTAATTGTTTTCGTGTGACACAACTAATTATTTACCTAAGGTTTTGCTATGACTTTTTTTCCCTTGCTATTGACCCGTATTATTAACTAACTGTATAATTGATTGCTGGTCCTATATGTGTGATACAACTAAACTGTCCAAACATTTCCAAGGAGATATTGGATAGACTAAATGGTGGCTATGCAAAGACCTCAACTAACTGTGATGTTATTGTTAAAAAAGAGCTAGATCTTGTTGGAAGTCCAAATTATTCTTAAAAATGTTATTTATGTACTAAACTATTTCGTATGACAAATTTGGCATAAATTATATATGTTTCGTGATATTTGTGTTTTAAACTATTTAATATAACAAATCTGGCACAAATCACATAGATGGTGTTTAATTTTCTGTTAAATACTAATAGTCAAACGCCGGTCAACATTAACGAAAAAATAATTCGTGCCAAATTTGTCATATTTAATAGTTTAGTACACAAATAACACTTTTTGAATAATTTGGACTTCTTAGTGGAATTAGCCCTTAAAAAAACTATTTGTGGTGTTGAAAGATTGTATGACCATCAAGTGATTCCTAGGAAGAAATACCTTTTAATACTGCTTTTTCATGACAAATTATGTTATGTTACGAAGGATTTATATTGAAATCTAGGGATTTCCTAAGGTAACTTGACTTTTTTAACCTGCTATAACAGATTTCACAGGTCGCATTACGTAAAATACAATAGACATTACGTAATGGTTACATAACGTATAGTAATCTTACTTAACAGTCATAAAAGGTCATTACGGAAGTCTTACGTAATGGAATATCCTTTTACGTAATGAGTATTAACCTCGTTTTACGTAAAGTGTTAAGTCATTACGGAAGCCTTACGTAACAGTGCTGATATAACTGTTACGTAAGAAATAATTGTCATTAAACCTTTACGTAATGGAAGGTTCTTTTACGTAATGAGTATTAAACTCGCGTTACGTAAAGTGCTAAGTCTTTACGGAAGCCTTACGTAACGCTTTCAATTTAACTGTTACGTAAGACATAACTATCGTTCCGTAACCTTTACGTAATGGATGTGTATTTTACGTAACAGCTGTAAAATGTCATTACTTACGTAATGGAAGGTTCTTTTACATAATGAGTATTAACCTCGCGTTACGTAAAGTGCCAAGTCTTTACGGAAGCCTTACGTAACGCATTCGATATAACTGTTACATAAGACATAACTATCGTTTCGTAACCTTTACGTAATGGATGTGTATCTTACGTAACAGTTATAAAATGTCATTACGGAAGCCTTACGTAATGGAAGGTCTCTTTACGTAATGAGTATTAACCTCGTGTTACGTAAAGTGCAAAGTCATTACGGAAACCTTACGTAGTGCTTCCGATTTAACTGTTATTTAAGAAATAACTATCGTTCCATAACCTTTACGTAATATGTCCATATTTTACGGAACCGTTGTAATGTGTCATTGCATGAGTAAATAAAAAATTTAATTTAATTTAAATGATAAATAATAATAATAATAATGTTTGTTTGTTTTTTATAAATAATTGAAATGAATGAAATAGCACCAAACCTTTCTCAAATTTATTATTCAAAATCGTATGTATTTTCTTGGTAAGATGATTTAAATGATAATTTAAATGACAAATTAAATGACAAAAAAATGTTGCTTCGGCACTAAAAAAACTTTCCACATAAAGAAAGATTAAACCTTCCATTACCATCGGTCCAGCCCAATTACACCAATTAGACGGTAACTTAATGAGGTTTACGGGTTCAGCCGGTAGTCCCTATTTTCTATTTTTTATTTTATTTTTAATTAATAGTCTAAAGTAAATTTAATTTATTTTAACGGTTCAGATCTAAACAAGTTATCTAACTTGAAATTATACTCAAGTTATTGTAGGAGGTCTAAAATCTAATTGTCTCATGCAAGATGATCCAATTCTCGTAAACTCATCATTTTGTTCACCGTATTTCTTGGATGATTAATAGATAGTGTTATTTGCATCATCCTCACCCAAAACATTCATATTTTTCTCAATGGGTTTCGTGTTTAATTAAATTTCTAATCCTGCCTTTTTTTGTAGAATTTGTTATATTCTAGTTTTGGGTAAAGTCCATTGGTGAGAATTTTCCAAAACCTATTCTTCATTCAAAATTTCAAGAATTTGAGAGGGAAAGGAGGTAGATAGAACTTAGAAGTCAATGGCAATGGGTTTCCAAAATTTCAAAACATAAAATAGAACCCTCTCTTTTGAATGATGAACCGAAATATATCCACACTAAATTTTGATAATTTCAGAGTGGTAATTTCCATGGAAGGAATGAAGGCAATCGCATTCGCAATTGTTATATGCGGCCAGCGACAAACTCATTACTGATCTGCATAATAATCGAAGAGGAGTCCAAAATGTTGACCCATTGAAAATGGGCTCCATTGCATAATGAGAGCTTATCCGATCGTAGGCTTTAATCCTTCAGACACCCTCAGCACTCGTATATAGGTTGGTATGGGTTAATTCAGTCCAGAATCGGATCGAATTGAGATACGACAGGATAAAAAAATAATGGAATATTGAGGGAACACTACAAGAAAACTAGCTTTTAGAGGCAAATAATTAGAAACAATTATTGTATTAGTCTCCATATATAATCTTTGGATGCATATATATTATTTGTTTCTATATGTTATGTTATTTGTCTCTGTATCCTGTATATTTTTAATTTTTAATAAGATAAAAATAAATTAATAGTTTTAGAGACAATTACCATATTTGCTACTATAAAACATACTAATCATTTCAACAAAGCGTGTACGGAGACCGTTCTAATTGTCTCCAAAACATTTGATTATATAGAGACAAATATAATAGTCTTTAAAGACAAATGTAATTTTTACTTGTGTTATATCATATAGAAGCAAATTTAATTGTCTTTATAAACTAATACAACCATATTTTGAGTCACTTTTTCCAAGAAAACTATTTAGTGATTATTTACTTATTCGTGCAATTAAAGAGAAAGAAGCAAATATGGAATTTTATCAACGCAGAAATATAGAGTGATAAATTGTAATTATAATTAATGGTATATAAACAATATTAACCTTAACCCTAATTCATTTCCCCCCTTCTCAACCGACTATTCATCTTCTCCTCCAAACCTTTTTGTTTCTTCTCTACAGAAGAAACCGTCCACTCTCATTCTTCTTTTCTTCCTTCTTCCTCCACTTTCTATCTTCTCTTCTTTCAAGTTATAAGTATTTGATCTTCAACCCCTTCACCACTAAGCCATTTTATTTTTCATCTCGTATCCAAATCAGCAACTTCTTCAATCGTTCCCTAGCGCTTGTCTTCCGAGATCTACCCACAACCATCATTATGTCGACATAAGCCATAAGCAACGCCAGATCTACCCAACTTTGGATGTTTAAAGATCCATGTACCACGAAAATCTGTCTGTTCGAGATTTGAAAACGAATGTGCAGGTTCTTTTCTTCCTATTTTATTTTCTTTACCTTCGATTTTAATTATTATTGTTTTTACTTTATTTTTTTGTGTTCTGGTTTCTTACGAGGGAATAGATGGGTCACCGGAAATTCTAAAGTTCTCTGACGGCGAGGGAACCAATCCACCGGAGATTTTTTTTCGTTAAGTTTTTAGGTTGTCTGGGTTTGCAGCGCCTCTCTTGATTTATGGGTTTTAATTAAGTTTTTTTTTTTGTGGTTTGATGATTTTGTCACAGAAAGAAAAAGGAGGAAAACAATGGCTTGGAGGAGATCTGGTCGTGATCCATCAGTGGTGGAGAATTAGTTTAGTACATGCAATAGAAGCTATGTATTTTTATGAACTCGGATGTATTTATGTTTTTAGGGACAATGTATTCATGTATTTTGATAATAAATATATAAGAAAGCTATTACTAAAATTTAATATCGTTATTTATCTTTATAAAGTTGAATGGTTTGGACGTTCTATATTTGCCACGAAAGAAAGAAAATTGTCACATTGAATTTGAAGGTAAAATTAAAATTGGATCAAAATTATGAAATTACAGATAGAAGCAAAATTATGTCTCCAAAACGCATATTTATGTTTCCGTAAGATATTTACAAAAAATATAATTGTTTCCGAATCTAGCAATAGAAACAAAAACATTTGTCTCTGAAACCAAGAAGAAGAGAAAAGACGTGTTATGTAAATTGGAATTACAATCAAAAAAATTTGACTCAAATTCCTTAACTAGAAGCATATAGTATTTGCATCCATATTTGTTTTTAAAGGGAATTAGAGACAGAGGCGTCCGATGCAAATAATCTATTTGTTTCAAAAGGTATACAGAAACAAATAAATGAGTTTTAGATGCAAATAAACATTGCTTCTATAGCCAGTTTTTCTTGTAGTGGAAAAAATTGGACCAAAGTATGTTTGATTTTTTTGGAGTAGTCCAAATTTAGTTTCGGTTCAATTTTTCTTTGTACTTAAAATATTTCATAGGATCGAATCCGAATCGAAATATATCTATCGAAATATGATAATTATTAAAGAAGTAATACGTATACAAAGAGCAAATTAATAATTAATAACATTGAGCAATGCCCTTAGATATTGGTAATATGCACCAACACCATCCCAAAGGGCTGCAGTAATAAGGAGTGCATCCTCTTCTCGCACATTTCGCATTGCAGTCATCAATCTTTTTGCATGGCTCGTTCCCCGCATTGGTCGACTCCAATGGTTTGACAATTTCTCTTCCTTCCATCTCCCTCGCAAAACCTAGAATAACAATATGCATAAAATAAAAATCAGCTAGAATTCAATGTTTATACTGTGTTCACAGGGAGAAAAAAGGAAGGATATTGACAAAACTCACAAGAGGAGACTGCAAGCAACAACATGAAGAAGAACACTCCTAGTTGAGAGGTGGATCTCTGCATTTTGAGTTTATGGGCTGTCAAAAAATGAACAATTTTTGAGCTTTTTCTTTTTGTTCCCCTTTTGTGCTACTTTGGTTATCACAACTATATAGATCGATGGAGTTCCTGATGTTTAAATACTAGGAGACCTAACCTCTCTTGTTGTATGATTCAGTGTTTCTAATAAAATTGGTAAATCAATAATCACTCACGGAAATAAACATCAAGGTGCATGCAAGTCCAATTATAGAGGCCATTAACGGCAGTTTTCTTATATAATTGGTCTAGAATAAGTGAATTCAATCATTCATAGAATGAAAAAACCATTTGTATGGCAATTACATGTATTTTCACGATATTATCTTAATTATTTTCGTTATTATAATCTATAAAATGGTAAATCTTATCTTTAATTATGATTGTACAAAGGACTTCTCTACTGTAGAATAATAAACAGATTTGGCCATATATATCAGATGGTCAAGTACAGTTCACCAACAACTTTCTTGGTTAAAAGATACAATGCATAACCGCATAATTGGCCTCTTGACAATTATTTACAAAATTATTATCGTATATATTTATGAACTATACATAAATATTGATTAGATAGATGTATGAGGGAAAAATTTACATAGAGATAGAGGTGGCAATTCTCAATCTCAAAACGTTGGATTAATGATAATGTATAAATGAAAACATTCATCACACTTCAGGTTCAAATCTTGGAGTCAATAAGTACAGAACATACTTATTTGAGTTATATCATTCTCTTGTACGATGAAGGACTAATTGTTTTCGTGTGACACAGCTAATTATTTACCTAAGGTTTTGCTATGACTTTATTTCCCTTGCCATTGACCCGTATTAGAGGTGGCAATTTCAATCCAATCCATCAATTCACCAATCCAATCCATTTGCCACCTCTAACCCGTATTATTAACTAACTGTATAATTGATTACTGGTCCTATATGTGTGATACAACTAAACTGTGATATTGGATAGACTAAATGGTGGCTATGCAAAGACCTCAACTAATTGTGATAGGATAAATTGCAAGTGTCGTCACTCAAATTACTAAAAAAATTCACGTTTGCCACTAAAATTAGTTTATTCTATTAATGGTCTTTGAAATTAGTTAAACAGTTCAAGTTTGATCACTCTCCATTAGTATTCGTTAACTTTTGCTGATGTGCCAGTCAACTCTGATAGTTGACCGTTAAATGTGTGACATCACTGACATGGCAATTAAAAAATTATAAAAAAACAATTTTTTTTATAAAAATGATAATTCAAGGAAAGAGAGTTATGTTCCGCGGAGCAAAGTTGTACGTACATCGAATTGTTTTTTCCCCTGACTCCCACTCTTGCTCCTTCTTTGGGCCTTCCCCGACGCCGACGTCGACAAGCTACCTCCCGTCGCCGCTCCTCTCCTTGCCGCTGCCCCCGCTCCCCGCTATTACCCTATTTTCGTCGCATGTAATATAAGCTCGGCTACTGAGGAAAGGAAGAGTCTTTCTTCGAATGGTGCCTTGTGCATCTCTGAGAGGGCTGATCCTGTGATTAAGGGGATGCTTAGTCACTTGATTAAGCCCTCCCAGCTCTTAGATCTGTACACTCAAATCTGACGGTTAAAAAGTGAGAAAAGATTTTTAATTACTAATAAGGATAATTTGGATATTATGAAAAAATTACGAAGTATACAAACTGGACTTATAAATAGTACAAACTATACAAACAATACAAATTAGAGCGACAAAAATAACAAAGCTTACTGTTAGCATATCATGGGGCTTGTCTTGGGCCACGTTGATTTGTGTTTATGATTGGCCCAAGGCCATGCAACCCTAACCATGCAGTCGTAGGCATGCTAGGGTTACAAACCATATATATATGCTCCTGTAACCTACCGAGAACACCAAGCAAATATAGTACGATTTTCGTCTTGGAGAGCTAGCCTCTCCCGTGGATTAGTCCAGGCATTCCAGGGATACCACGTTACAAATATAACAAAACTTACAAATATTACAAAACAACCGACAAACATTACAAACATACTAACAGTACAAAATGCCACTACTTACAATACAAAACAGTAAACTTGTATTACAAATCAATGAATACAAAGTATACAAATCATAACATAAACGTTACAAAGTAAAATATATACAAATGAGTTATATAAACGTTACAAATATCATAGATAAAAATTAAAAATTAGAATGATAAACGATACAAACCGACTTTAAAAAAAAATTACAAAACAGACTTGCAAACATTACAAAATAGCCTAACAAACATTAAAAAAAAACAGACAGTGTCGCCTGATAAATCTCTCTGCCGCTGAAAAATTTATCGTTGCCGAAAAATATATCGCCGCCGGAAAGTCTCTCCGCCATCAAAAAATTCATCGGTGACGGAATATCTCTCTCTCTCTCTCTCTCTCTCTCTCACACACACACACACACACACAGAATTCTCTAGGATAAACCAATGCCACCCCAGGAAAAGTGCCCACGCCAGAGAAAAGGACCGCCGACGGGAAACAGACTGCAGGCTGTCAGCGACCGCGTATTTAATCAGGGTATTTATTTTAATGGCTAAATAAAAACTAAATAAGAATGAATTTACTATATTGACCTTTATATTAAATTGGATTAATTGGAGCCATTGAATTTTAATGAGGTGGAATGGCTGAGATTCACTTAGCCATGTGACTAAGGGACCCCTTAGTCACTTGATCTTAGCCCCATCTCTGATGCCTCGGTGCGTCATTGCTTTGGATCATATCTGCCGACGGGGCTCTGAAGAATTTAGACCGAGTCCAATACTAGCCCCCAAATTTGGGGATATTCATCCCTAAATTTGGAGATTCTTCCCATTTTCATCATTTTTACTCCAATGCTACCATCTCCAAATTTGGGGATTTTCATTTTTTCTAGCAGTTCTTTACTTAAAAATGTACTTATGATCATCTTAATCAAATTTATTCATGTTAATTTTGATATAGTTCTTCATCATTTTTTAATACTAATTTTCCGATAGAATTTTTTAAATTTCAATACCGAATTGTTTTTTATAAAAAATAATTGACCTAATTTTTCTTTACACACAATACTTGAAAATGATAAATGATTCCCTAATTTTTCATCATTAAAGCACTAATTAAACTCTTAACCTTTAATTAAACCAAAAAAATAAATAAGATTGTGGCGGGCACAACTGCCAGCCCGAGTGGTGTGTCGAACGCGCGCGGGAGAGCAGCTCTTCCGCAGGCGTGCGGCGCACCGCCCGAGCTGGCGGTTGTGCCCGCCACCCAGGGGCGGAGCTACCTTGGACCTCGCCTCCCCCCCCCCCCCCCAGAATTTTGAAAGTTACGTGTAAATGAGCTGGGATAATACGTATAATCTAGACATGGAGTATATATATACAACAGTGCGAAATGGTAACAAGGATTTCAGCTTAGTTTAGCGAAATGGCACCTTATATTCAAAGTAATTGGTCCTTGGTTCGAATCTCCACTAAAGCAACTCGTACCTCTATTTTCTTTTTTGTGCTTCAATTGCATTATATTCCTGAATCAATGTAGTTATTTTGAGTTATGACAAATTAGCTAGTTATATTCTTTAATTTTCTTTTTTATGCTTCCATTGCATTAAATTCCTGAATAAATCAATTAAATAGTTAGTTTCAGTTATTACAAATTAGCTAGTTATATCCTTCAATTTGAAAGATAGTTATTCTTGAATAAATCAATTAAATAGTTAATTTCAGTTATTACAAATTAGCTAGTTATATCCTTCAATTTGAAAGATAGTTTGAGATGCATTATAAATATTTTTTTTATTTTTCTTTAAATTTTCATTTCACTGAACAAATCAAATTAATCATTAAACTTTCATATAAAGGTTTTATACTTCCTTAATTTCCAACCAGATCAATTAAATGCTTTCATTTCAATGATAATTTATGATTTCGGATATATAGTGAATAGTTTTTGTCAAATACGAATATTGATAGACATTCATTTATGTGCGGCAAAAGAATGTTTCGCACTATATGGAAATGCATTATCAAATTTGTATTATTTTAATTTATATTGAATTTAATGAATTATTTTTGTTCGATTATGATAAAATAAAATAATTTATTGCTAGTTTTTTTAGCCTTTTGCAATAATGTGTTAAAAGTTTTCGGCCACCGACCATCAAATCCTAACTCCGCCCCTGCCGCCACCACCCCTCCCAATCGCAAAAAATGTAGAGATCTGCATTCCCTTCACCAAAAATGAAGACCCAAATGACGATTATCGCCATTAATAGCGATTTGGGCATATAAATGGCGACTTCATTGGAGTCAGCCTTAGTCCCAAAAATTGGGAGTCACGACTCTCTTTCTCCCACCCTCTTTTCTATAGGTGTCAATGGGGCGGGTTCGGGTTCAAACGGGTTGCGGGTTAGTCAGATTGCGGGTTCATCGGGTTCGGGTTGATCGGGTTCGAGTTCAAACGGGTTGCAGGTTAGTCGGGTTGCGGGTTCATCGGGTTCGGATTCAATCGGGTTGCGGGCAAATCGGGTTGCGGGTTCATCGGGTTTTGGATCGGGCGGGTTGCGGGCGGGTCGGGTTTCGGGTTGTTCGGGCCAGCGCATTAAGTAACTTAACTCATTACTCATTACCAACTTACACATTTTATTACACTAATTTAAAATATTTTCTCAACTTTTTAACCAATTTATTTCTACCTCGTATATATATACTTTATTTTTTTGAAAAAAAATAGTCAAAATGTTAAATCAATTTGTATGACTTGCAAACTTGTTATGTAATTAATCATAATTGGTAAAGTATTATAGCTAATAGTAATGGTGATATCAATATTTGCAACCAAAAGACACCGTTAATTGTTTATTTGATATTTTAGTATTAATTCAGTAGTAATTGGATTAAAGTATCTCGTTTAGTATAACCATGCAAATCTGGTATTGCGTGTGGTATTTGGCAAAAGCATAGTGATAAAAGGAGTTATTTCAAAATAACTCATTGCCCAAATAACTTTAGTAAACTGTTGCCAAACGAGTTATTTGTAAAATTGTTCGAATTATCCTAAAAATTGAACCATTAAAGATTAGCTATCAAATTTAGTAAAATTATTGTGACTTCAATCATAACTTACTCAATAGCATATATCCTATACACTTAGCTTTACCCTCAATCAACAATATTAAGTTAGTATATGTTGTTGATTGTATACCCTAAACCGTCAATATATTATACACTAACCACATAACCTATACCCTAATCATATGTCCTTGAGTTGTGATTTTTTCTAGTATAGTTAATTTAAAAGTGTAATTCATACTTTGATTTTCAAAACATAGATAAAAAGTTATATTTGCTAATTGTTATACCCTAACCATATATCCTATACTTTACACCACATACTTTTTTTTTTGAAAGTTTCATTTAGATTGCAAACGGGACAAGCCCAATGGAAAAAGTACACATTATACAAACATTAGACACCCAAACCCCAATGATCAAGACCCAAACCCAAAGACCCAACAACAGATTGGAGACCCAATAGGGCCCAATCAAAGCCCAAACCGAGTCCTGAAAACAAACCCTAGCTGCCTAATGTTTGCCCATGGAACCATCATCGCCGCTGGCAGCCCCTAGCAAACACTCCTCCCACCATCCGACGTCATGGAACGACGGCCAAGCACGAAGAAAGGAAAGCTGGAGCCAACCACCCCCAACTGAGGACAACGAGAACAGCATGCAAAGTTCCAACCAACTCCTCGCCGGACCAAACTCCAGTAGCTCCACACCGACAAATCAAAGCGAGCAACTTCTGGTCGAAAGGGCGGCCGGTGACAGACCATGGCGGTGACCTTCTGTCTTCAAAAACTTCACTCCGAGTCCAAAGCTGAGAGCCACATCTCCGGACCACCAAGATCTGCAAGGTGAAACAAGGAGGTAGACAAAAAGAGAGAGGAGGAGAAGACAAGCCAAAATCTAAGAGATCCGACCTCCTTTGCATCTAAGATCAGCAACATCTCCAGATCTGATATATCAGATCAGAGGACAAAATCTCAATCCAATTAAGGAGAAGAAGGAGACCCATAAAGGGGAAAAACAGAGCCAATCGATGGCTGGAAATACAACAACAAAGAGATGAAAAACAAAACATGAAACTGGAAAAGGGAAGAAAGAAACGGGAAAAAAACATGAAAGAAGGATGGGCTGCCGCCGGTCACCAACAGGTGCCGGCGGCGCCCTTAAAAATCTCAAGGGTTAAAGGCTTAAAGCAAGAGAGAAGGGAGAGGAAAAGAAAGAAATGGGTCGCAACAGAAACCCTAGACGATGGATTTTGGAAAGGAATTTAATTGGACAAGGGATGTGATTATTTCCTTTACACCACATACCTTGTACCCTAACCACGTACCATAAACATAAATTAAAAAGGGATCTCCTGCCGTTAAAGACTTCAAATGACTTCAAGTGAACATATGTTAATAAAAAACTTAGAACCGTCATAACCATCAATATCTTATACACTAACCATATACACCCTAAACCATATGTACATTATACCTTATACCCTAACCATATACTTTATATCCTAAACAACGAACCGTCAAAGATTACTTATCAAGTTTAGTATAAATTGTTGTAACTAATGGTTAATTTATTTATTAGCCCATAAAAAATTACATACATATATACATATTAGCCTTCAAAGCATATAAGAATAATTTTAACTAGTCATGTCCTCCATATAAAAGTTAAAGATTCATATTTCAAAAGCTAAAATTATGAAAAACCAAAAAATTGAAAACACCAAATTTGTTTCCTTCTTTCTTTTCACAAAAATACTAAAATTACCCTCCTTCTTTCTCATTCCATACATTAGAAAAACTCAATTTTCCCTCCTTTTTCTCTTCCATAAAATTGAAAGAACCAAATTACCCTCTTTTTTCCTTCTACAAAAAGTTGAAAAGTCAAAAGTTTCCCTCCTTATTCCTCTTTCATAATCAAAAGAATCAAACTTTCCCACTTCTTTCTCTTCCCACATATCAAAACCACCAAAATTCCCACTTGTTTCTTTTCTAAAAAATTCAAAGAACCAAATTTCCCTCTTCTTTCTCTTCCCAAAAACTTGAATACACCAAAATTTCCCTCTTCTTTTAAAAACATCAAATTACTAAATACATTACTTTACTTTATTTATATTTAATTGATAATTTTATTGAATAGTTAAATTAACCAAAATTTAAATTTATATATTATATTAATATTGTCATGATCTCAAGTGACCTTCATGTTTAATTTTTGTAATTTTCTTAAAATACGTAATATCAAGTGAGTTTCATATTTTTAAAATTTCTTATACGAAATGAAAAAATAATTTTACTTAAGTTTAGAATGAAAAACTTTATTTTGAAAAACTATGTATTGTATATTTTTATAATTATTCAAGTGGATTAGATGAAATTCGGGTTCAGCCGGTCGGGTTACGGGTTAGTCGGGTTCGGATCAATCGGGTTCGGGTTAATCGGGTTGCGGGTCAGTCGGGTTGCGGGTCAATCGGGTTCGAGTTAATCGGGTTGCGGGTTAGTCGTGTTGCGGGTTAGTTGGGTTACAGAGTCAATCGGGTTGCGGGTCGGGCGGGTTACGGGTTGTTGACTTTTAGTCAATTCGGGTTGCGGTCGAGTTGCGGGTCGAGTTGATCGGGCGGGTTAATCGGGTCGGGCTATGTTTTGACACCTATAGGAGCAACAGGGTGGGCGAGTGTTGCACACGCATGCGCGGGATTGGTGGCTCCCCTCACTGCCACTATTAGGTTAATCGGGTCGGGCTATGTTTTGACACCTATACTCTCTTCACTGCCACTATTAGGAAATTTCCTTTTCAGTCTTATTCGCTGATTATTTTCTTGGATTTTCTATGGATCGATCTGTTTCATGTTACGGCTCAAGATAGGGTGCATAACCATGGGTTATGCATCCATCAATAACCAAATATGAACCCTTCATTTAGAAAATCCAGATCTAAGGATGGAAAATTAAGGACCATTTTTATGTTTCCTAACTTTCTTAATCGGCTCATATATTTTTCGTTTTAACTCGGATTTTAATTTTTTTTGCACAGATGGAACGAGTTCATCGTGCTCTACCAAATGAGAACAATTTTCAATATTTTTTTAGAAAAAATAAATTCTGGCTTCTCGGTACTAACTGCATACCATATGGTATCTTCTTCGTTTTTAATTCGTTTTTTGAAAAAGTTTGCACAGAAGGGACGAGTTCATCATGATCTATTGGATCTACAAATTTCTGGGTGAACAAATTACAGGATCAAAAAATACCACACAATACCATACAATACCACCCTGGTACGGGGTGGTATTGTATGGTATCTTCTTCGTTTTTAATTCATTTTTGAAAACGTTTGCACAAAAGGGACGAGTTCATCATGATCTATTAGATCTACAAATTTCTGGGTGAACAAATTACAAGACCAAAAAATACCACACAATACCATACAATACCACCTTGGTACGGGGTGGTATTGTGTGGTATACAATGTTAAAAGTCGTAAATGACAATTAATATACTTCTACTATCATGTATTCAACCATCCTACAGTCTTGGTTTATTCATACCACCATGGTACGTTTTTCAAACCATAGGTATGCTTTTATTTCAATACCAGTCAATACCATATGGTATAGACTGGTAAAAAATGGCTCAATTTTTTTTGTTCGAAAAATTTATTAAAGTGGATATCATTTTGAAGAGCACAATTAATCTGATCTAACTGTGCAAAAAAAAAATTTCGACTTAAAATGAGTGAGAAATCGTCCGTCAAAGATTAAAGTGGGGAAAATTAAAGGCTTTCCATGAGAGAGAAGATGCTAATGTCATGCTGATGTGGGCTGGTTACTCATGGTTACTCACCATAAGGTTGTTACCTCTATTTCTTGGTTGGGTGTTTATTTGTTTTTATCTTCTTGGATTTTCTATGGATTATCTACTGCTACTATTATGCATGCTAGATGAGCAAGTAGATATCAGTTTGTCTAATTTGTTTCTCAAATTTTTTTTGGCACTCTTCCTTGCTGGGATACTGAATTGGTAAGCCTCTATTCGTTTTTGGGTGGTCAACTTCGATGCGGATGTTTGCACGGCGGGTCTCTTCCTGCTCTCGGCCGGAAGAGCTTCAAGAGCGGGAGATGAATTTTCCGGCAACACCACCCCCAGTCCCCCACCATCATAGAGATAAAATGATGGTACTTTTCTTGGACCCAGATAGAGTGACCGGCCGGCCGGCGTCAAAGATAGTTCTGGGCACCTCTTCCGTAATATACGTTTTTATTTTTTAGTTAATGTGATAATGAGGTGGAAATTATAACGGATTAAAATTTTTTTTATAATTTTTTGATTATCATGTCACATATTTAACGGTCGACTATCAGAGTCGACTGTCACATCAGTGAAAGTTAACAGAGAGTGACCAAATTTGAACTGTTGACCTAATTTTAGTGACCATTAATAGAATAAACTAATTTTAGTTGCAAACGTTTAAATTTTTAGTAATTCCAGTGACCAAACTTGCAATTTACCCAATTGTGATGTTAATGTAAAGAAAAACTAGTTGTGATGTTGACAGATTGTATGACGATGATCTAGAGATTATTCGGAAGAAATACTTTTTAAAATTATTTTTTTTCTTGACAAATTACCTTATGTTACGAGAGATTTATATTAAAATATAATCATTTTATACAAGATGACCTAATTCTTGTGAATTCATCATTTGGTTCACCATACTTCTTGGATGATTAAAATATAGTGTTATTTTGCATCATCCTCCCCAAAACATTCATATTTCTTCTCCATGGGTGTCATGATTAGTTAAATTTGTCATCCTACTTTTTTTTTTTTTAGAATTTGTGATTCTAGTTTTGGGTAAAGTCCATTGGTGAGAATTTACCAGAAGGTATATAGAACTTAGAAGTCAATGGCAATGGGTTTCCAAAATTTAAAAACATAAAACATAACCCTCTCGTTTGAATGATGAACAGAAATATCCGCACTAAATTTTGAATAATTCAGAGTGGTAATTTCCATGGAAGGAATGAAGACAATCGCAATTGTTTTCTGCAGGCCAGCGACAACAACTCATTATGGATCTCCATAATGATCGAAGAGGAGTCCAAAATGTTGACCCATAGAAAATGGGCTCCATTGCATAATGAGATCTTATCCGATCGTAGATAGGTTAGTAATGGTTGATTCGGTCTACAACCGGATCGAATTGAGATACAACCGGACAATAAACAAAGAAAAATTGAGGATAAAAATCGGATCAAAAGCATGTTTGGTTCGTTTGGTCCAGTCCAAATTTAGTTTCGGTCTAAATTTTCTTCATACTTAAAACATTTCATAGGATCGAATCCGAATGGAAATATATTCCATTCGACCAAATCCAGTCCAAATATTTATTCGGTCTACTGTGAACCGGATCGTTGCCCACCCCTACTCATCTACACTGGGTGAAGCTACGTTTTGTTATTATTAATAAATGTTATAATGTGTGTATTCATATATTGAGAAAACACTAGAGAGTGATAAGACGGGTGCTATTTGTCCTTCTACAATATTTGAGTTCAGTCGTGAGGAATTGTTGTAGTTTGTTATTTTTAACTCTCCTCATTCTAAACTTTGACTTCAGCAATGCTCATATATGCTTCGCACTAACTCAAGACTTGACAATTTTTAGTACTTACTCGAAAATTAATATGAAATCTTTTTATTACTCACAATATAATGTGTGACATCAGTTGATTATACAATCAAAAAATGATAATTATTAAAGAAGTAATACGTATATAGAGAGAGCAAATTAATAATTAATAACACTGAGCAATACCCTTAGATATTGGTAATATGCACCAACACCACCCCAAAGGGCTACAGTAATAAGGAGTGCATCCTCTTCTCGCACATCTCGCATTGCAGTCCTCAATCTTTTTGCATGGTTCGTTCCCCGCATTGGTCGACTCCAGTGGTTTGACAGTTTCTCTTCCTTCCATCTCCCTCGCAAAACCTAAAATAACCATGCATAAAATAAAATCCTTTAGAACTCGATGAATATATTGTTCACAGAAAAACAAAAACAAAAAATACTGTCCAAACTCACATGAGGAGACTGCAAGCAGCAACATGAAGAAGAACACTCCCAGTTGAGAGGTGGATCGCTGCATTTTGAGTTTCTGTGCTGTCAAAGAATGAACAATTTGGGTTTTTCCTTCTTCTTCCTTTTGTGCTACACTTTGGTTATCACAATTGTACATATTCGATTGAGTTCTGTTGTTTAAATACTAGCAGACCTTACCTCTCTTATTCAGTGTTTCTAATAAAAATGGCAAATCGATAATCACTCATGGAAATAAGCATCAATAGGTGCATATGTGCATGCAAGTCCCATTATAGAGGCCATTAACGCCAGTTTTCTTATATAATAAGTCCAGAAAAAGTGAATTCAATCATTCATAGAACGAGGAAAGCGATTTGTATGGTAAATGTTATCCTTAATTATGATTGTATAAAGCAATTTTCAACTGCAGATTAATGAACATATTAGGCTATATTAGATGGTCAAGTACAATTCACTTACAACTTTTGTTATGCGGGTTACAAAAATACAATGCATAACTCCATACCTCTATTGGTAACAATTATTTACAAAATTGTCGTACCTATTCAAGAACTACACATAAATAGTAATTACATACATAATCCAACAGTAAAGGCATTGTATGCCAAAAATACAGATGAATTGTACAAGTCCGTTTATGCACATGTTCTTAACTTCTATAAGTAGAGGTGACAAATGTATTGGATTCATGGATTGGTGATTTGAATTGGTAGATCTTATGGATTGGTGGATTGATCCATCGATCCAAATGACATTCAAACCTTGGACCAATATGTAAATTTTTAAAAGTTTCGGTACTAAAATGTAACAATAAAAAAATTTGTGTTACCAAAACATAATTTTCCTATGACATTTTTCATATAAAAACAAACTGTAAAATATAAAAATATAAGTACTAAAATGTAATATGTCAACAATACATTAATCCAATCCACCAATCCAATTGAATTTAGATAATGGATTTAATTAGTTGAATATTTAAGTGGATGGATTGGATTGAATTATAAATTGCCACCTCTGCCTGTAAGGCTTCTGATATTTTATGGATTGGCAAAAAAAAAAAAAATGGGAAGACTGCTACTCTCGTTAATTTTTGGTGTTCTATTCATCTACAAGTATTAAGTTAGTTATGATATTCATCAAGGTCGGCCATTAGCATGTGTTGGCAGGTCCTCCAACAGAATGCTCCAAATATAAGGGGCATTAATGCCTTATATAAGTCGATTGATAACAATTCGGGGATAGACATTATGGAAGGTCTCATTCTTAGATTCTCAGACCTTCATCCAGAGGCTTCAAACATTAGTGACGTCCACCATAAGTCTAACTAATATAAATTAGACACATTTAAAGAAAAAAATTATATATAGTCATTTAGTTCAAATCGGTCGATGACAATCAACAAATATATATAATTGAAAATAGTGAGTTATCTAATCACTTGAGGTTGTAGTGATCTCACTATAATCGTTGTCGACTCGAACGATTTTACAACAAAATAGTTAGTAATCAAGTTACTTTGTCTTAATGATGCATAAGACTTGCCTTTGCTATTATTCAATCAATACTTTTATAATACAATGAATCTGATCGTGCAGTAAAAGGTAAGGAACAAAAAGTTGTGTTTGAGGAGTGGAGGGTGTAGCACAACGGTCCACTACTAACAACCAACAACAAGGAGATTTACAAGGAACATGCCACATCATCACACATCGGAGAGTCGAAACTTGAAGTAGAAATTGGTGAAGGACTATCGTGATAAGGGCTTGGTGATCACATCCGCGAGCTGATCAGGTGTTGGTAGGCATTGTACACGAAGACCGACTTTGCTAACCTGATCGCGAACAAAATGGAACTCAATTTCCATATGCTTGGACCGGTTGTGGAAGACAGGATTATGTGCAAGGAACGTAGCCCCAAGATTGTCTCACCAAAGGACAGGAGCAGATGGGATTTGTTGTCCCAATTCATTGAGTAATGAGTGCATCCAGAGGACCTCTGAGGCTAGGGTGGCAAGGGCACGATACTCACATTCAGTGGATGAGCGGGTGACGGATTTCTGCTTGCGAGTAGACCAAGACATCAACTTTGAACCACAAAATACCGCCAATCGAGTGATAGACTTGCGAACCTTGGGACATAATGCCTAAAAGGCATCTGAATAGCCATGTATGTGAAGAGAGGTTCACTTGGAGAAGATGAGGCCACGATCAAGAGTACCTTTAAGATAGTGGAGGATTCGTTTTACATATGCCCAATGATTATCGGTTGGAGAATGCTGAAACTGTGAAACATGATTGACGACAAATGAAATATCTGGTCGCGTGAAGATGAGATATTGTAGTCCTCCGACTTAACTACGGTATGTTGCTGGATCAGAGAATAGAGGAGAAGAGTCCATGGCAGAGGACTGGAGAATATTGCCTGTAGACGGAGTGAAAATAGCATTGGCCTCGGACATCTTCGCATGTTCGAGCAGGTCTTTAATGAACTTCCGTTGACTGAGTATTATGCCAAAGGAGGAGAGATGCACTTCAATTCCAAGAAAGTAAGATAAAGGGCCCAATTCACGAAGAGAAAATTGTCTCGGAGAAAAGCAAACAGCCGCTGAATAAGAGTATTTTCATTCCTGTCATGACGATGTCGTCAACATATACCAGCATGTATAGGAGAATGGAACCTGTCTTGTAGATGAATACAGAAGGATCCGTGCGAGAGACCATGAAACTAAATCGATTGAGTGCAGCAGCAAGGCAGTGAAACCAAGTGCGTGGTGCCTTGTGAAGTCCGTAAATCAATTTCTAAAGTTGACAGACGTGATTGAGTTTGTCAGGATCAACGAACCCCAGAGGTAGCTGCATATAAACTATTCCGTGCAACTGGCCATGGAGAAAAACATTACTCATGTCAATCTGGTGTAGCGGCTGAAATGACCCGATCCTTTTTGAAAACCAAACCATAACTCAAACCACAAATCGGTTACTCCAGAGCAACCCAAAACAGGTTTATAAATCAAAACAAAAAAAATCAACAACAATGTTTAAGACTCTCAAGTGAAATGCCCTAAACACGTGGGCGACCTCAGTCCAGAGCAACAAAACATAAAACACAATCCTTGAGTTTCCCAGTATACTCATTAAGACATGAAACTAAAGACAGATATAATGGGAGGTCCCATCTCGTTACCTAGATGCACTTGACATCTTCAGGTTTGCCGCGACTGCTCTCCTCGGGTAACCTCCTCTTGATGGATGTGTCCTCTTCCCCTCTCTGCACCTGGTGAATGAGAAGGGGTCAGTCTCGTCGTTACTTCCTAAGGTCTTCGCCCTAAGAGACTCCTTACTAAACACATTATTCGGGTTCTTGACTTAGACAAAAGTCGTTCTTGCTTTCATCCTTTATACTTTGTTATCAAACAGTCTATAAGAGATATCTACTCCTATCTTATCTTTAGAATTTGCTTACTTATATTCTTAATCCATAAACACCAACACTAGGGATCACCGCGTTACGTCTCGCCGTCCGGTGTCCCTACCCTAATATGCCAACCGCGTTACGTCTCGTCATCCGGTTGCATACCCAAACTCGGCAATGGCACTGTGTTACTTCTCGCCGTCCATTCCATGCCCGGTCAACTACTGCGTTACGTCTCGCCGTCCAGTAGTGACCCCAACATACTCGATCAACTTCTGCGTTACGCCTCGCCGTCTAGTAGTGACCCGACCATCTACCGTGTCCAGTAGTGGCCCAACCACCCGGGGGTTCATCTTGCTAATAATCAACTATTACAATCATACATTCATACATAGCACAACGCGTGCCTCCATCCTTAAGTAGGCGGTGGGATGCCTCACACACATACAGCGCATTACTCAAAATTAACTAATTAATAACTTGAACGAAAAGCAACAGCTAAAAGACCTACGATAGAGATTTTACCTCCTTTACACTCACCTCGAAAAGATGACTCCTCGATTCCTTCCTCGAAGAAACCCCTCCTTAGCCGGATTATCTAGGAGAAACCTATTAATAAGAATCCATTTTCTTAGATGACCTTTCTCGATTTAAAACCCCTTTTTAAATCACTAGAACACTCTCTCCTCAAAATCCAGACCTCGACCCTCGCTCCAAAGGGCCCTTAACCCCCTTTAAAAATTTTCTAGAAATAATCCCTTCAAAACCGACCATTTTTCCTAATTATTCTTGTCTTGGACGAATTTTTCACCTACCTTGAACCTTCTTAAAAATTTGGATAATAATTTTTCTATGTCAATCATGAGCACCTATACCCTGTAAAATTATCAGACCCTTAAAATCCACTTCTATAAGATTTTTATTTAATTAAAATAAACATTCGAACAATTTCTAAAAATAGAAATACATCTTCAAAAATCCCCAAATTAAATTAAAGCCATCTCCTAGACCTCCATTAATTTATCAAAGTGTTAAACCTAGGAAAAAACACCCACAGTGGCTCGAAACAATTTAAAACATCCAAAATAAGTTTATGCAAATTCCCAGCAGCTTTAGTGACCACCCGAAATCTGTCACTAAAAGCCTGTAACGTCTGTTGCTAAAAACCCAGAATTGTACCCTCATGAAAAATCACCAAATCGATCCATCTAACTTAAAGGGATCGAGTTCCCTTACCTCTAGAACGTGCCTAGGATTAGATTGGATGACCTGGGACGTTGATCTCCTCGTTGATCGAACCCTCAAACGTCACCGCTAATAAAATACGAGTTTCGGATTAGACTATCGATGAATAGAGTTTAGAAATTGAGAAGGGGTTCGTGATCCTTACCTAGAAACACGAAAGGGATGAGATCACGGTCGGGTAATCGGAGTCGGGATAGGGAGTCTGCGGTCCCTTTTTTTTTTTTTCTTCTTCTTTCTTCTCTGCCTCGCGTTGGGGACTCAGATTGGCGGCTGGGGTTTTGCTGTTGCTCTTTTCTTGGTGGGGTGGGGAATTATTGTTTTGAGGGTTTCCTGGGGAGTGGGCAGGGCCCACTCCCCCGGCCCTCTTTGTATAAATATTTTTTAAACAAATAATGTAATAATAATAATAATAATATTATTATTATTCTTAATTCGCGGTTGCAACTCTTAGTACGTAACCGTCAATTCAACCGATCACGTATTAAGGTCGAACCTAAACCCAAAGGTCGGAGTGTTATAGCGCCCACCTCTGTGTCACCGCGAGGCCAAGTATAAGCTGAAGGGTTGCTGGCTTCAGGACGGAACTGTAAATCTGATGAAAATCCAAACCCGGTATCTATTCAAACCCGCGAGCGATCAAGCGAGCTCGATGCCGATCAAAAGTGTCGTCTAGATGAAGTTTTGGCAATAAAACCATTTATTGGAGAGAATATTGCAATTGGGGGGAGGGGGGGACCAAGTCTCAGGTGTGATTCCTGATCTGAGCAGAGACTTCGTCCAACATCGCCGAACGCTAGTGAGGAAGTTTGAGTGTCTGCTTGACAATGGTGGGTGTGTCGTCGATAGGGAGATACGAGAGGAAGGTTTTGGATTTTAGGTTGCCAGTTTTTATGCGTGTTACCATGGGGTTATCAGAGTTGGTTATATTGGTAACGGTGTGTGGGCGAGGGGAGGTGGTGAATTTGGGTTGGGGAATAAGAGGACGAAGGAGAGGCAGAGGGGCTGGGGTTCGAGTGGAGGACGAGACAGGAAAATGGGATGAGGAAGAGGATGATGAGTTCGGATTGAGTGGACAATTGGGTTGGGCAGGATTAGTTGAGGGCGCGAGGGAGGGGGATGAAGGAGAGGGAACAATAGAGGGTGTAGTAGACTCAGTAGGAATGGGAGAGAGAACGAGAGTGGTTGGCCGAGGGGAAACGGGAGTGGTGGGCTTTGGTGGAATAGGATACTGTGGGGGTGGAAGTGGGTTGATAATATTGTTGGGTAGAGAGGGGAGAGTAATGGGAAAGGAAGAGGATGGAGAGGCAGATGGTGAGTCGATGGGTGATACCTCTGTAAATGGAAAAAGGGTCTTATCAAATAAAACATGCCTACTAACATAGATACGGACAGTGGGGATATGAAGGCAACGGTAACCCTTGTGAAGTTTGCTATAGCATAGACAACCGAAAACACGAAGACTAAAAATGTCAAGTGAACGTTGGAAGAGAAAATGGAAGGGAGAATCATTTTAGAAGCAGAGGAGTAGTAGTGCGATTAAGAAGATAACAAGCGGTATCAAAGGCAAGAGGCCAATATTTTTGGGGAACATGGGAGTGATGGAGAAGAGCAAGACCATTATTGACTATGTGGTGGTGTTTTTGTTCTGCACATCCATTTTTTTAGGAGAATAAGGACACGAAGAACAATGAACAATGCCATGTTGATGTAAATAAATTGATAAGGCTTGGTATTCGCCACCCCAATCGGATTGAAAAGTTTTGATGGAAAGGCTAAAATTTTTGTCTACCAATTGAAGAAATTGAATGAAAACACTAAGCAATTGATACTTATATCGAATGAAATAAATCCATGAGAATTTGCTATAGTGATAATAAAATAGAATATAATAGGATTTCTCATCATGGGACAAAACAAGGGTAGGACCCCATACATGACTACTAACGAGTTCTAATGGTGCAGAAGCATGATACGTGGAAGGAGAAAATGGTAGTTTGTGAATCTTACTAACAACACAACCATGACATAAAGAGGGAGATGCGGGATCAAATTTTATTTGATGTTGATGAAGAAGATGCTTGACCGCCCGTTCATTAGCTTGGCCAAGGCGATGATGCCATATGTCAAAAGTAGCCGCACAAGCAATAGGTGATAGATGACGAGAAATATGAAGTGTAAGTGAATAGAGACCATCCACCGCATAGCCTCAATAGAGTTCATGCCCTGTGTGTCGATCCTTTATGAGAAAGAGAGAGTCAAAAAATTCGATAGATAGGGGATTAGTACCAGTGAGAGAACTTATGAAAGCAAGTTGTATGGAGCATGACGAACATGGAGAATATTATACAGGGAAATAGGAGTATTGGAGAGAGAAGTCGTGGAGGAACCCAAATTAGAGATTAGGAGAGAGTTACCATTGTCAAATGTGACTTGATCCGTCCCATTATATTCCGAATGACAAGGAAGATTATCCAAATTCGAGGTCAAGTGGTGATTTGTGCTAGAGTCAAGGAGCCATTGTTGTGAGTTGAAGGCCTGGGCTGATGTGTGGGCCTGTTGGGTGGGTAAGTGGGTTGTAGGAGGGAGTAGAAGCAGGAGGGATGGCAGAGTGGGCCGCAGGGTTGGAGAGAAGGGGTGGATTGGGGCAGTGGGGTTTGATATGGCCCCGCCCACCACAGTTGTGGCCAACACCGAAGAACCAGCGGATCGGGGCCCAAGAACTCTTTGTACTGGGCTCGACCTTCCAAAAGACGAAGCAAACATAGGGTTAAAAGAAGAACGATCGCGGAACTGGCCATGACCACGGCCTCCTCTACCGCGAGAGCCACCAGCGTTAGAGAAGAAAGTAGTCGGCGTCGGGTATTCCAAGCGGGTGGAATAACGCTGAATCTAGAGCTCCTCACTGAGCAAAGGGGAATGAAGATCTTCAAAGCTGGTAGGCTCGAGGCGCGCCTTAATATGACGAACGAACTGACGATATTCTTCGCCCATTTTGTCAAGAATTCAACCTGTGAGTTCGTCATTGATAACTAGAGAACCGAGAGCCACCAATTGATCCTCCTTGGTCTTGGCAGCTTGAAGATAGTCATGAATGGTGGCGTCGCCGCGACGGAGATTGTGTAGAGCTTTGGTGAGTTGGTGAATTTGGATCTTCGAGCTAGAAGGATAGATGGTCGCCAGGGTCGACCACGCATCGAAGGCACCCAATTTGTTGATGACATTCGGCAGAACTGCTTTAGGTAGAGAGATTGATCCAGGTAAGAACATATTGATCGCGATCATACCAGTGAAAATATTATGGATTGGATTTCCATCAATGAGTTGTGGTGGAGCAGAGACAGAGTCATCGACGTGACCCATGAGGTGATGACATCGAAGCAGCAATGTGATTTGAGCATGCCAGAGAAGGTAATTTGTTGGAGTGAGCTTGACAGTTAGCTGTGGATTAGCAGGAAGCGACATGGAAGACGCCGGTAGAGAAGCAGAGGCAGCAGAGACAGAGGTAGAGACAGAGGTAGAAGAAGGAGAAGATAACTTGGTGGCCAATTTAATGGTGGAAGAGAAAAAATGTGAAGAAGAAGAAGATGCATAAAAGCTCGTTAGAGCACTGTGGGCTCCGATGCCATAAAGATGCACACGACTTGCCTTTGCTATTATTCAATCAACACTTTTATAATACAATGAACCTGATCGTACAGCAGAAGGTAAGGCACATAAAGTAACAGAAAGATGTGTTTGAGGAGTGGAGGGTGGAGCACAACGGTCAACTACTAACAACTAACAGCAAGAAAATTTACCAAGGAACATGCCACATCAATCATGTCTAAATTTGGATAGTTTGAAATAATTAGTAACAATGTAGTATGTTGGAAAATGTTTTTAGTAAATTGTGTATTTGGGGAGAAAATCACTACAAATTCTCCCGGCTTAAGTACATGAACATCGTTTCATCCAAAAATTGAGTTGTCAATTGCACAGTGCCTATAAACTTCAGGTACCAATTATGTAATTTACTCAACCCACTGGCCACTGGCCGGCGCCCACCTTACCCCTGGACTCTGGGGTTTTGGATTACCCTCCATCTTTCAGCCCAGCTCGAAGAGCCCCCAAAATGGCGGCATCGCTGCTCCTCAAGAGCGCTCCGCTCCTGCGGCTCCGCCTCCAATACCACTGCCTCGCAGTCGCTACTCTCCCGCCGCTACGCCGTACGTGGTGCTCCACCGCCGCCGAGCCCACTCGGCTCGACGACGAGGTCTCCGCCGCGGAGACGAGTGGCGACCTTTCGAGAGCTCCGGACCGGACCAAATACTTCAGCGTCCACGATCCTGATTACCGGAAATGGAGGGAGAAAGAGGACGAGATTCTAGCCGACATCTCGCCCATAATTTATCTCGTCAAAGACATTATCCACTCGGACAGGTATTGATATTATCCTCTGCATTCTGATTGGGAATCTAATCGCCGATTAGCCGCGCGCGGCGCCATTGATTCCAGCTTAGAGAAACTGGTCAATCTTAATCTCTTTCATTACAAAGTATCTCCATCGTCGTTGATGACTGACTCCTACTGCCGCTGATAGAGTGACGATAAGGGACAAGTTGCCTGATTGTGTCTTGTGGCCTCTTGTTTTCTTTGAAGTGTTCACGTCCGTTGCAATGTTTTTCAGATATGTGGATGGAGGGAAGCTGGAAGTTGAAGATGAGAAGGCTGTGGTGGAGAAGCTTCTCGCTTATCATCCGAATTCCGAAGACAAAATTGGATGTGGGCTCGATTCGATAATGGTAAGTTATCTGTCTGCTTGATTTCTGGATCATAAGCTCCGAGGCATAGCCTTGTCTGCATCATACAAATGATAGAAACTGCACTATCCTGAGAACTTAGCTTTGCACTCCGTAAAGTTACATAAAGCTGTGAGGCACACCCTTGTCTGTGGATCATAAACTCTGAGGCATACACTTGTCTGCATTATGCAACTGAAACTGATAGAAACTGCACTGTCCTGAGAACTTAGCTTTGCACTCCATAGAACTACATAAAGGTTCTTGTGGTGCTACCAGGTCTGGTTTTGCATAAATAAGATAAATTTTTAGTTTGTCAAAGAATTCAGTTGGTTGTTGCTATGTTCACTGAGTTCTAGCTCCCAATTTCTCTTTTGCACTTGCTTTATGTGTCAAGACGTGTTCTAGCTCTGTGGTTCAGGCTCCAGAGATGGCTACAGTTTATCACATCTCTTGGCTTGATTTATTTGATTGTTTTTTACTACCATTCTTAGCTTCTGGTACAAATCCGTTGCACGACGATAATGCGTATAGATCATCGCTGTTTCTTACTCTCTAGGATCCAATTTGGATACTAGACTTTTCATGTCAACTGAACTTTGAAACTCGATGCTGATTAGTGTCAAGACTGAGTACCTATGGGTATGGCATTGTAGCAATGTTGTCTTTAGAGGCAAAAGAAGGAAAACAGAATGATATGAATTGCATAGACGAGACAGTTTCGAACGCATAGGAAGAACGCAAGTTTTTTCCCTTTCTTTCTTTCTTTCTTTCGTTCTTTCCTTTTTGGTGAATGAAGAAGACGAGTTCTTGTTAGATAGATTTGGTGATACTTTGAGAAGCTCTAGTAGCCGAGACAATTTCAGCTGACTGTCGAATCCTAGCCTCCTAAGCACTTCCTTTAGAGTCTAGAGAGAAGGTTGCTTGTTTATTGCCGCTGGGGGCTTTTGTCTGCAGTATTCAGTGCCTGTATACTCATTTTGTGTGGGCTGGGTCTGCGATGACATGAGGTGATAGTATTACTGGTGGGCTGTGTAATGGGCTTGATAGAGGCAACCCAGCTACAACAGTTCTAGGCATGGCAAGCCTACTGGGAGGGAAAAAAATAACGAATATTTAATGGCTGTGAAGCCGCTTCATGATTCATAATTCAGAATCTAATCTTCATTTTGCTTCACTCATGCGTCAAAAATATTATGCTTAAGTTGACTTTACTAATTTTGCTTCATCCTACATAATTCTTAATTTGCCACATTACTCAAACATGCAAACGGAAGCAAGATTTCCAAGTTAATTGTTCTTTCGCGGACTGATAATGTTTTTCGCTAGTAGTTGCCAACTCTTGTGATCAGTGCAATGTATTTCATCATCACTACTCTAATCACTCTACATCCATGGTAACTTCATAATGTTCTGCACGTTCTTTCTCCAAATAGTTGTTTTCAGGTTAGAACAAGAGACAGCTTGGGCTTTGGAGATTTTGTTGGGCTGATGCCAAATGTCAATCTAAGCAAATTTGGTTGATAACTTGATTCGATTCTTCTGGCTTGACTTTATTTCTTTTGTTCGCTTCTGTTGCATTGCTGTCTCCCATTTGTGGTCATCTCATGGTTTGCTCTTCATTTAACCCCTTTGAACCATTAGACAGGCTCTGCTATAGTTGATAGATACATGTCCCAACTTCTTTGTTGGTTTTCTTCACATGCATACACCCTTTGCTTGGAACTTCTTGAGGGATTTCTCGGGCCAGACTTCTGTACTGATAGATGAAACCTTTTGACCGGTACCACCCTTGCTTTATCGTTTCTTTCATATGGAATCATCTCTTTTGTTCACTGGTCGACCTTCTCCTAGCTCTAAAGTTAGCCAAAAACCCACCTACATCTACATGATTGCAAATGGCTGACATTTAATTGTTGGATCCAGTGCCCAGTGCCCACTGCTAATGAATGCATTGCCAGTTCAAGTTCAACATTGATATTGCATGTTCAAGTTAACAAAAGCTCCTCGAACTCGTGTTACCGTGTAGGTTGATCGACATCCACAGTTCAAACACTCGAGGTGCCTGTTTGTGGTGAGAACCGACGGTGCTTGGATAGACTTCTCGTATCAGAAGTGCCTGCGGGCATACATCAGGGACAAGTATCCAAACTTCGCGGAGAGGTTCATTCGAGGACATCTCAAGCGCGGGAGCTAATCGAGGTTATTTTGCTGCAACTGCTACCATGTTTTTTTTTTTTTTGTATACGAGAGATCTTGAGTGTGATGTGATCATGTAAATTAAGGGGATGTGAAACCATAGCTAGGTGACAGTCAGTAATTGTCAGTTGGTTGGGATGTTGTTCTTCAAGGCCGACCTGCCCTTAAGACCAGGTCAAGGCCATGTTTGTCAAAATGTGGTAGATAATCCTTGACTAACTGAAGAAGAAGAAGAGAGATGGGAGTGAAGAAAAAATGATTGAAATGAACAACCCCACTTTTGTTGACCTGCATATCTGTTTGTCTCTTCACTTTGCTTGTGCAGAAATCAAATGCTCTCTCTCTCTCTCTCTCTCGTTTTGTTTTTAGCTAGTTTGGGATCTACTGCAAGACTAAAGTGGAGGTGGCAGGCAGCTGGTTTGTTGGCTCTGTTTCTGTTGTTTATACAATGACGGAGAGGGAAAAGGGGAAAGCAGAGGCGGAGAGGGTATTGGAAAAAGAAGGAATGAGAACAAGAATAATGATTTACTCTGCTCCCCATCTCATCAAAAGCTGTAAAGAGTAATCGGGGAAGCCATGAATTAGTCAAATCCATGCATCATAGCCCCGCCGAACAGCAACCTTTTTACCACAAGAATCCATCGAGTATATTCTTCGACTAATTAGCTCTTCGTTAAGTGTCATTCTGGTTAGGATTGTGACATAACAAAATATCAATGATCATAGTTCATAATGCATGAGTTGTTTCAACGATGGATTTGGATTCATCGTAAATTCTGTCCTTACTTCATTGTTTGTTTCATATATTTAGGGGCAAAAAATTTGTGAAGTTCATGGACTTTGATGGTCCAAATTCGTGGGACCTTCGAACATTAGAATCTCTCCATTTATGTAGTGACCAACTTATTCCTCCTATTTTCTTTGTCTTCTCATCTCATACCAATGAGTGAAGAAAATAAAAATAATTTTACCTCATGTATGCAAATCTAATTAACAAAATGCATCATGAAATCTATGAAATGAACAATGCTAGTTTTCAAGCTCATAATGAACACAAAATCCTCATATATCCATGGAATTTCAAAGTCTAGATTTTACCAAAACTATCATTTTCCAAATCCACAAAACAAACGACTCGTAAGTCTTCTAGAAGCAATTTTTCTAAGATTTAAACTATTACAAACTTGGGAGACCGGTAATTTACAAAAGCGTCGGTGTGCTCTCGATTACGCCAAATCACGACCCCCTAATGAAGCATATATAGTCGACAATGATACAACTGAGTAAGTTGTGCATGTATTGGTATGAACATGAGAAAACATAATTGTTAATACATCTAATTAAGTCATGTAACAACGTACGCAAACATGATTGTCATATGCGACCACATGCATCTAATCATATGTTTGATGTTTCTCTCTTTCCATATGTAATGTGTATTTCTCACCAGAATCATTTGCATTAGTGCTCTAAAGATTGCATCCATGCTTGTTATTATGACGACGACGACATATTGCCTAATTGGAGGAATCAAGAACTCAGGAATAGAACATGGCCGGTCCAGAGTCGAATGATTTTTGGAAGGATGACTGGTCATTGAGAAATAGACTGAGCTCTGCTAGTGTTGGGGGAAGTAGGGTTATGGTCAAACCGAGCGTGCTATGAAGAGCAAAGCATGCACGCAAATGAATAACATGATGAGAATTGAGAATTGAGAACCATACCATACCCACCAATGATATAATAAATAATATGCATGTTTTTGGACGGTCCTCGATCTCCATAATGAGAGACTTACTTGGTCGTGTGCTAGCCTAGCCCCTTGGTAGAAATCATGATGCACCATAAGTATGATCATGTTGTGAACCTGAGAAGAGCTCCTGTAATTAATGTCATTAACGTATATAGGGTTATGCAGCTGATTATAGAATAAGCTAACCATATTTTTTCTAGCTGATCATTAAAGTGTTAAAATGCATGTTAATGGTATGCAAGGTTCAGCGACACCAGTCGCGTAACACCAGTCGCGTAAGGCATACGTTGAAGTCTTGTCTAACACCTAGCTCGTTTAGGCGCCATCTAGATGGCGGAAACAAAAATAGCAGTTTGTAAATGAAATAGCAATTTACAACAATTTCTCAGTTCAGTTCGAACGATAATTAACTGGCGTATTACTTAACAATAAGAAGAAGAAAATAGCTCACGGGTTCATAGAATCACAGCTCAATATCACACAAAGAGGAGATTGAGTTTGTAGATGCAATTAATTTTCCCTAGGGAAACAGCAATTTACAACAATTTGATAATTCACAACAATTTTCGTAGTTCAGTTCGAATGGTAATTAACTGACGTATTACTTAACAATAAGAAAAAAAACAACTTCCGGGTTCATGGAATCGCAGCTCAATATTACACAAAGAGGAGATTGAGTTTGTAGATGTTGTTAATTTTTCCTTATGATATTGACTGCCTAACTTCGGTCAAGTGTGGTCTTACTGATTGTATTTGTATGCATTGCGTATGAAGTTCACTCTTCACAAACTTCATCTCAACACGACGAGCTAGCATCAACCTCTACTTTATTTCATCTCTAACTGCTTTTTCTTCTTCTTCTACTTCATCTTCTTTGTTATTTCCCGGCCTCTTTCTCAAAGCCACAAAAGAAAAAGGGTGTTCGGTTTCGACTTTGGATTGTAAAAACAAAGCCCACAAAGGGAGAAAAACCAAAGCAAAAGGAATAGTTTGCTAGGTCGGATCTACCTTTGGTTTTCGATTAGAATTTTGGAAGCCTTTCATCTTTCCTTATCTGCTCTCTCCTTTTTTCTTTCCCTTGTCCACACAGTGCCCCCCACCTTCCCTTCTTCCTCGTTTCTTTGGTTCACACAACACAGCAACTAATCTCTTTGGGTGGAAGAAAGAATAAAAACAGCAACTAATCTGCTAGCAAGCATGATCGGTTCTAGTCGCCATATACAGTGTGTCTGAATCTCAATGAATCATTGAAGGGCTAGAATATGTAGGTGACAATGTGGTCAATACTGTGTTTGAGTTTTGGTATCAGAGAAGAAAATCAGGTTTCGGGTTACGGGTCATTTCGGGTTATGAGGCTTTTCAGAAATCATATCAAACGTGTTTCGTAAATTTTTAAAAGAACACAAATTTTCTCATATGTATGACAATAGTTGATCACCTAGCACGTGTCAATTAATAAATGCTCAAATCCTTCCATGCTAATGAAAAGAAATACAAATTGCAACAAAATCGTCAGAAAAGAATCACGAAAGTAATACCGCTACCAGAAACAAATGATGTTTGATTATCCTTACATTCATGGTTTGTCTTTCAAATCATTATGGATTCTATTAACTATCTTACCAATTTATAAGTGCTTTTCTCATTTTGGGAGTGACAATATGAATTGTAACATGTCTACTGGTCGACCCGAGAATCCACCCGACTAAAAAAAAAACTAAGAGTTAATCGGGTTTGGGTCATTCAGATTACAAAAACTTCAACCCTTTTGTCATTTTTCGGAGTCGAATCGTAAGTTACCAGGTCTAAACGATCAAAATCACAAAACTAGATAATCTGATTATGGCATCAAACTGTCAACCCACTAACACCTACCTCACTCAGCAACTGGATTGGCATTTAATTTGGGACCTCAAACGCCCACTATGACCTTATAACATGTTCTTCTGCTGTATCAGTTGCCATCAATTTTGAATACCTAAACATCGCACACTAAAATTCAGTGGCCGAAAACTGTTAGGTTTTGAACATTGAAACCCCAGAACAGAGAAAGGCCGGTCGATCGAGGTGGAATGAAACAGGAAGCCCCATTGGCGACTAGTGAACCACCAAACAGGAAGACCAATGAGTTTCGAGTAATTCGGTAAGCGGAATAATAATAATAGCACAGAAATTCCGTCGACCATCGGCAACAGCAGCTGCCCGCCACGACTTTTGTTTTGCTACTTTTGTCTGCTTCGGTCGGCTGAATCGACAGGAAGAGAAAAAAGCAAGCAGTAGTACGAATTTGGAGCAGTGGTAGTTACGGGAGCAAGTAGGAACCAATTAAGGTCAACTCTTTGATTGTCCTTGGCTAATCATTAATTAAATGTCAGAATCTGACCCAACCTGCAGGTTGACCCGCTCTCACTCGATCGGTTTATGCTCACAAAATGTAAGTTGACCAAACATCACTAACCCATGTCCTAAACTCAAAGCTTGATTGTCTCAGGCACGATTTGATTAACTCGTAAATATGATTAGTTCGGAACTTGATCGACTCGTAAATAAGATTTGTATAATCTTATATTTAATCAATCAAATGAATTTAACCTTCCGACACTTGAAAACATCTGGAATTAAATTCGGATAGGACGCAACCCGATATATTGACCCCCTGCAGATAACTTGAGTCGACAAAACTGTTAACATCATCTGGCCTTACAAAAAGGTAACCTCATCTCCCGACGACTTGGGTGACCTGTTATTCACACAACTCGAAATTCGATTGGCTTGCAACATTATTAAATTTGTTAATTGATGGGTAATCTGGTCCATTCTGAAGCTAATAGGGCATGTCTCTCAACTGGTCCATAACTCCGATCAACTAATTCAAACTTCAGCTAAACCTATCTATCTGACGCTGCTCATTGTCAGGGCCGGCCAAGAGGGTGTGCCGGCCCGCCCTCCGGCACAAGGCCTCCGAATATTAGGGGCCTCCACTTAGATTCGTTAGTTATCGATCGAATATTGCAGGTTGTTTTTTTAGTGTATGATTGATAGATTATGAACATGATGACGAATTTAATAGATAATTTTGGCTATAATAACAATTAAAAAGGATCTCATGGAGAATACGAAAATCAGAGAAATAATAGATAATTTTAATTTAAACAATAAAGAAAGATATTACATTTTGAATAATGGTATTATAATCATTTTAGTTTTATTATAGTTAAAAGTCAATTTGGATCATGTCTCAATTTTATAATAGGGCCTACATGATCCATTAGATAGACCCGCACCCACCTCTCGATCAATTTATATTATTTTCATTTATCCATTCAATTTTCGCTCTATATTCATTTTCTGTTTTCTCCAGATTTACTTTTCTCCCTCCCTACTAGGAGTGAGAATTTGGTCTTGGTTTCTTGGTCAAATAGGAAGTGAGAATGTTTATTCATTTTGAAATTATTTTATGAACTTATGTACTTTATAATTATTTAATAAATTTATTGAGAAAAAATTAGGGGCCACATGTTAAATTTTCGAACAAGGCCTCCAAATATCATGGAACGGCTCTGCTCATTGTTTATAGGTGATGGTGTTCATTTTTACAGTGGAAATCAAAACAATTTGAGTTATTTTTCCTACGCAAGTTTTTGGAGCTCTTAAGTCGCGATCATGTTACTGTTTTTTGCTTCTGCCTTCTTTCTTTGTGAAGATATAAATATCTCCATCATTAACGGTAATTTTCAGTATTACTGCTTAGAGGCAGCCCCGTTGAGACTAGGAGGATCACGGAACAACAAATTCTACTAAAATGCACATAATCATCAGTCGTTAGATTTATTATACAGAAATCATTATTAGTCATTAGATGGGCCCATGATCAGAAAACATTAGCCCAGCCACGAGAATACGAAGGTCCACCACCAGTCCACCACGGCATTGATGGGCCCACAAATCCACAAGTGGACCACCCCTCACCATCATGAGGATTTCCCCCTTATGCATGAGTAGACAGATGGGCCTTCATCATTTGTGCTTCTTATCACCTATTGCTATTTGCCACTTAGCAAACTTTAAATTGGTAACAACTTGTGTACTTGACCATTTGAATCCAATTTACTCATCCAATTCAATACATTTACCAAAAATTTCCTTTAATCGCAAAAATTTCCTTTGATCGATTGATTGACGGATTTATGAATTGTTGAAAAATATTACAATTTAGTACTTATAATTCTTCATATTCAAATTCGTTACTAAAAATCTATTTACTAATGACAAATATTTTTTGAAAATTATGCTTTTGTACCTAAATTTTTAATGGCAACATTTTAGTATCTGAACTTTTCATGATGATTCAAGATTTAGATAACACTTAGGATCTATGAATCCACTAATAAATTTGTCACCTCTAATTAGTAACTAAACACATGACCATGTAAATGAATTACATGACGATCAAGCTTAAGATGGTTTTGTTCTTGATATCGCGATTCGCTTCCAATCTCTCACCATTGGTGTGTAAGCCTGAATTTCTCCTAATCATGGATACCTACTAACGAAAACAGGTTTTGCGGACGAAACCCTATTTTATTTTCTCTTTCTTCAAACGCTCTCGATCTTCGGCATGGATCTAACCCGTAGCATGTTCACCGAGTCATGCTACATAATTAGTTTAAACTTGAGTGACAAATTTATATGAAAGTTAGAATTGATTGGCCGTTTAGTCAGCAACCCAAACTTCAGTAATCATTTATGTAAACCTTTGATATTATTATACATACAAAAAAAAAAAAAGGTTAGAAAGAAGGAAATAGGAGGAAAGAGTAGACTACCAACAGTCCAACACTAGAGCCAGCCAGACTGTCGAAGCCATTAACTACTACGACTATAGCCTATAGGGCTTTTGTGTCTGCAGAGATCGCACTCGCACAAAACACTAGACAAGAGAAGAGAAGCCAAAAATGCGAAATATATATCATTTATTTTCCCTCCTACGAAAATTAGGGTCTGTTCCTTCTCCTACTTATTGGGAAATGCACATGCTAGTTTTCTCGTCATTTTCCTTCCAAAAATTTCTTATTTTACTACATGATTGGCCGAAAAACATAAATGCATGTTCGAGACAATCTCGACTCGATAACTCGTAAATGTATGTTGTAAATTGAATTTATATTCCTATCAATTAGTCTCCACCAAATATTTGTTCTCAAAATGGTATTTATTCTGATAAGCCATTGTGACAGGTCGTTCACCTACCTTTTTAACCTAAACTGAGCCAATATGGGATGCAAATTTGGAACCCGGAATGATGTAAATAATTAGGAGGAATAATTGCAATTGGTTTTAATCAATCATCACATACTTTTTTAATTATTGAGAGCTTTGTTTGAACTTATATATAGAACAGGGAATTCATGCGCATGAGGAGTTATGAGCCATCACGTACATTATGTGTGCCTGTATTTATCCCTGGCGTGTTTATTTCGATGTAACAATAATGTTTTTTCTACTTTCTGCATACCAATTGGGCTGTGGACTCCACCACTCGCCGACCTATCTCTAATGAATTGGGCGCCTGTGTATGCATCTCTTATAAATAGGACTGGAAGTTTGGTATCGGTATTTTGATATATCGAATACCGCACTCAATTTGTCTATATTTGATATTGCCGAATACACGTATTATTTTATAGGATTGTGATTGAATTTCAATTGTTATTCGGCATTATAGATTACGGGATTGGGATCGATATATATCGAAATACCTATCAATATCAAAATATAAGCTAGTGTGTATTTTATTCTCTCAACTAGACACTCTCGTTCACTATTACGCGACCATCAACCACCAAAAGTGTCATTTAATTATACATAGATCATTACATCACTATTTCACACTAGTACTGGTCGTCTCTCGACCTCAAATTCGTCAAATTTAAGATTACCAATTACAAGAACTTGAGATGTTAGCTCTAGGCAACTCAAGACTATTTGCTTAGACTCTTTGCCCTAAATTAAACAATAAAATCTAATTTATATATTTAATTATTAATTATAAAGGTAAATAATTATGTATTTGATAATACCGATTGGGATACCAAAATTATTTAGGGATTGAAATTGGGATACCAAAATTATTTAGGGATTGGGATTGATTTTAGGGTGTAATTCGGTATTCGGGATTTCGGAATTTGGTATTGGGATACCGATATCGTACCGATTTCCACCCCTACTTATAAAGCAGGCTTGCATTGCATAAGAGACCAAATCAAAGAACGAGAGTATCTCAATAACTTGAGTTGTTTAAAAAATGTTCAATATTTAACTTATATCACATACTAACCGGTATGGTCAATAAGATCGACGCTTGGTTGTCAATCCAGTATGATTGCTGCATTTAACTTCCATTTGTCATTTCACCCTTATAAAAAAAAAAAACTTCCATTTGTGAATCGCTAGATCACATATCGGTTCCAACGGTTGACCCGCTCCAGCAAGATGAATTAGATGATCAGATCAAGCGTTTCAGTCGCCTTGGTGATAAAATATCTCACTGCTGGGATTCAAACTCGGGTCCTCTTAGAGACAAATAAGACAATATAAGTTGTTTTACGTACTATGGCAACGCTAATTTGTGTCAATGTGCATACAATTTTAAAATAGCAGATAAAGATGCGGATGTATTTACGTCAAAATGCTTCCTATTTTCAAAAAAATCCGAACATAGTTAAAACTTCAGAGTTTTATAGGAATATATTAATAATAATTATATAATTTGTAACACCTTAGGCGAATCCCACATCGACAAAGCACGGGAGAGATCCATGGTTCATAAGTAAGAAACCGACCTTAACTGACAAGACGCGTTTTGGGGTGTAATGGAAGAGTTTTTGTGAGAACTCCGAAATTAAACGTGCTCAGTGTGGAGTACAACAAGAATGGGTGACCTTATGGGAAGTCACCTTCAATTGCACCCCAAGTCAAAATCCGTGCGGGTGTAGATGCCCAAAGCGGACAGTATCTTGTCGGGAAAAGGTTCGGGAGAGATCCATGGTTCATAAGTAGGAAACCAACCTTAAGTGACAAGAAACGTGCTCAGTGTGGAGTACAACAAGGATGGGTGACCTTATGGGAAGTCACCTTGAATTGCACCCCAAGCACGAAATCCGTGCGGGCGTAGATGCCCAAAGCGAACAGTATCTTGTCGGGAAAAGGTTCGGGATGTTACATAATTTCTTTTTATTTTGAAGAACATTAATGCTTCGACTTTAGAACTTTAGTAATCCTCTTTGTTTATGAGTAATGTATTCTATTTTAATTTATGATTTGGTGTGTTGTTATGTGTATTCTGTTTATAATATTCTTGTTTACGAGGTATCGATCGTTAACAATTTAATATCGGACACACCAGTAAATGTGAACCCTTCGACACTTCGATTTGTTATGTTATGAGTTATGTGTTATGACATAAAATAAACACAATAAAGGGTAAACCACCACAAATTTAAGTGTCCAAATAAAAAGAGTAAGGAAGTATAGGTACTCCAAAGTCCAAATGCTAATTTCACATTGGAAAAAAGATAAAGAAAATAGAGAGAGTGACAGAAGAGTGGGAGAGGGAGGGAGAAGACGACCCATCGTTTTAGTCCCACAATCGCAAGCTCGCAGCTTCCTTTTCCTTTTCTTTCCCTAAATATACCAATGTCCAATCTCAAAACCCCACAGATAAAAACTCTCTCCCACACTCACATCTCCACTGTCCCTCGCTCACTGCTCACTCTTCCCACTCTCCCCCAATCTCTCTGTTTTTCTCCCATTGACACAGCAAGAAAAGCTGCAAAACCAAAATGGCTCGTCAATCTGTAGACAACTCACCCCTTCTCTTCTCCTCCCTCAAATAATGCCCCTAGATCCACACAACCCTCTTCTCCTCTTCCTCACCAGAAGAAGAAGATGGCCAGCCCATCATCCCAAGACTCTCTCTACCTCTACTGCCTCGAGGACATTTTGTCACCCGAGGTAGAAGATGAAGAAGAGGAGCAACCAGAAACTTGCTCTGCTTTCTGCTGCAGTAATGAAAACCATGAAATTAACGAATCCGGAATCCCCATTGTTTGCTTTCCGGAGCAGGACTCGTTGTTGTTCTCTTGGGAAGACGACGAGCTTTCTGCTCTGTTTTCAAAAGAAGAGGAGAACCCATTGTACAGAGAGCTCGAATCTAGCCCCTTTCTGGCCCGGGCGCGCCAGGAGGCCGTGGATTGGATCCTCGCCGTTAATTCGCACTACTCATTCGCTAATCTCACCGCCGTTCTGGCTCTCAATTACCTCGATCGATTCCTTGTCACTTTCCATCTTCAGGCCGACAAGCCGTGGATGACCCAGCTCGCCGCCGTCGCCTGCCTCTCTGTTGCGGCCAAAGTGGAGGAGACACGCGTCCCTCTTCTAATCGACCTACAGGTATGATTGATTTTGTCGTCGATTTCGATTTTCGCCTACTCTTTTGCTATTTCACAGTTTCCTCACTGCCGATTAGATATTAATCTAAGGTTTTGCGTTTTCCTTTTTTGGGGGGTTTTGCAGGTTGGGGAGAGTAGGTATTTGTTTGAGCCGAAGACGATACAGAGGATGGAGATTATGGTGCTCTCTGCTCTGAAATGGCGGATGAACCCTGTTACCCCATTGTCGTTCCTCGATTACATGGCCAGGCGGCTGGGGCTCAAGGACTATCTCTGTTTTCAGTTCGTCAGTCGATGCGAGCGGTTAATCGTCTCAGTAATCTCAGGTAAGGAAAATCGATGGAGGGTTTTTAGTCCCACCATGAACCCATATGAAAGTTTGATTCTTTTCTTGACTTTGTATTCACTTTTTTTCCATCCAGATTCTAGGTCATTGTGTTATGCACCTTCTGTAGTGGCCACGGCTGCAATGCTTCATGTCATCAATGGCGTGGAGGAGCCCTCTGTTGGGGCTGAATACCAACGCCAGTTGCTAGACATTCTGGGAATCCAAGAGGTATTTTCAATTTGGGAGACAAAAAAAATTGGGCTTTTACAATGAGTTAGATCTCAGAATCTGAACTGGATTTTGTGAATCCTTGTGATGGCAGGAGAAGATAAATGGTTGCGGTCATTTGATAAAGGAATTGGTATCATCCGGAAGCCAATGGAAGAAGCGGAGGAAGTTGGACTCGATTCCAGGGAGCCCAAATGGGGTAATGGATTTGAGCTTCAGCTCCGACCAATCTGACGACTCTGCATCTTCCTCAGTCTCTTCTTCTCCAGAGCCACCGCATAGGGCGAAAAAGAGCAGAGTTGCAGAACAGGGTACCTCTGCAAAGTTCCTCGGCATCGTCATTCCTCCCCAGAGCTAAAAAAAGGACACAACTTGCGATCTCCTATAGCTAAATTTCCATGGCTGAGAATAAGAAACTCCCACCATGTTGGGTTTAAGTAATGATGTTCTGCCTCGAGTTTAAATTGCCTACAATCTCTGCTTTCCTGCTGCGCCTGGAGAAGTTGTTGGAATATTTTGGGAAGAAGCAATGGCGAAGCAGAGATGGTTGGCATTTTATCCGGCCGGGATGGGGGATGAACATGGAAATCCAAGGACATTGAACAAACTAGTGATGAGGAGTTCTTGGTAGTAGAAGTTAAACCAATCTATGTTATTATTATCAGCAAATCCCAAAAAAAAAAAGTAAAGAAATGTTACTTTTCTATATGTACCTGCTACCACATAATGTTCAATACATAAAAAGATAAAAAGTTTACTTACAGCTAGCTCTTGCTCTTGCCTGATTGTCTCCTTATTAATTCTGCCCAAAATGAAATTAGGATGAAGCAAAATGTGGCAATACTTCGTCAATAAGCAGACGAGGGGTTATCAGGATTTGAACAAGAGATCTTTGGTCAGAGAAAATCAGTTGATCTAAAAAACAGGAGTTATTGAGAAAAGTTCAATTGTGGATCATATATCATTTACTAACATACTTTGCTTGTTTATTGAAGAGATTGAGGTTGAGCTAAATTTTGCTCAACTTGTGATGTTCCCGAATAAACTTAATTTGCTGGCTTATTGATGTCAATTTGTCAACCCGTGAGTTGTCTCATTTTGAGCTAATTAGCAAGCTCACTAGCGAGCAAGCTTGGCTAACAACTTATGAGTTTAGAAGAAAAGTCAGCATGTTAACTAACTTAACAAGCTAAGATAGAGTCACAACATTGAGGTTTGTGACTTGTGAGCAATGAAATGCAACCAAGATTTTAGATAAGTGAGCTTCCATGTGTGTAAATTGAGTAACGTTGTGTTGAACATATGAGACTTGAGAGCTCTTCTCATTCTCATGTTCCTAGTCGTTTTTGGCTTGAGATCGTGGTTGATGCAGTTCGTTTAGTCAATTATCATATTACACCTGTTCTCGATCAAAAAAATATGTTCTTTGCCTTGTCTTAAGCGTATGCGAATTGCTTTTACCTTGGCGTTCTTTGAACAAAACACATTGTATAAATTGAGTAACATTAAATTCAATTATTGAAATATCATATACATGCATATATCTTTCCACATGACTCTTCCTAAGCAATTATTTATCAAGTCATCAATTAATTGTTCACTTATTTGTCTTGTAATTCGTAGTTAAAAATTCCTTTTATAGATAACTAACTTTTGGTGATAGTTTTACAAACAAATAAACCAACTAGATAAGAATATTGATGAGAATTCAATTGATGTGATTGTAAACTTTAAGTGAGAACCCAGCCTATTTTTCTAAGGCTTGAATTTGAATATGTCAATATTTGTAGTTACTTTTTCAAAGTCTTTTAACAATCATATTCCTCTGTAAACTTGGTAACATATGATTAAGAAAAACTACAAGGCGGTTAAATTTTGATGGAGCATGTGGAGGGATGAACAACCTGTCGGTCATTCCCTTAATTAACGAGGGATTATCAGTAAGTAATTTTTTTTTCTGACGCGATGTAGAATGTAGATCTTCATCCACTGTCCACATTTATTACCACTACTTAATTAATAATATTTTTTTTATCCTTCGTAGTTAATAATAATATCACTTGATGTTTGACCTCGTTGGGCTGAATCGGCACATATATTTTTATGGTTTTCATAGCACGACAGTTGTTAATGTTTAAGAACCCAACGATTTTCGTATTAATTCTCTTACCGTGCTTTATAATATAATAATGATGATTCGGTTCATTTTGGATCATCAAATCAGATCGAACGAATATTAGAACCGAATTGGATTATGTTGATGATAATGCGACCCGACTTCTGTTTCCAAAATAATTTCTTAACGATCAAGAAAATTTTAGACCACAATCACACCATATGAACTTTCAACAAGATTTCGATAATCTATTTTCGTTTATTTTTCATATGGTTTTATTCTAATTGGTCCAGTTTTAGCGAGAATCTGCACATTCTACTGCTAGAGCAATCCAACTAAAGTTTTTAGTTTTTACAACACCATCTACAACAATGTCATTAAAGCGTTTACAATCATCCGAGCGGGCCCTGTACGCTTTATGATCGTTGAATGACCATGATTGAGGGTAGGGGTGTTCAAATGGTTATAGTGGTAATAACCAAACCAATTAAACCTAAATTTTATTAACTATGGACTAAAACGTCTTAACCAAACCGTCCAAATTAACACGAAAACCAAATTAACCAAACCAAAATTTAATTGATTTGGTTAATTGGATAATCGGATTAACTAAATAACATAAGATTACATGAAAACAATTATCTTGTTAATGAATAAAACATAACCATATGTTATTACTATCATAAACTATCATTATATATAAGCAATAATAATAAGACTAATAATCTATGATTATCATCATCATTCGAGTTAATACATCATTCATCATCTCTGCACCTAATATAGCTAGCTTACAACAAACCCTTAACATAAATATTAAATACATACCAATACCACTCATCAGGAAGTTAAAGCTCTCCTACAAAACACTTAAACTATACATAATTTAAAGTGTATGTCATGGTACTGTACGCAATCCTAAAATCTAGTAGCTGTCCAAAATGTTTTGGTTTAGTAAATAAGCAGACTCATTTAATTTTTGACTCATAATGCTTTGATTTGTTGTGCACATGGAAATAAAATAGGGAATCACGAAAGTTTGGTTTCGTTGGTTGCATGGAAGTATAATTACGTGTATCATTAATTGGTTAATTGATTTTATTGGTTAGTAATGTTGAAACCAAACCAAATCACCTAAACCAAATAAATTAAATTGTTTAACCAAACCAAAATGTTTTGGTTTAGTAAATAAGCAGACTCGTTTAATTTTTGACTCATAATGCTTTGATTTGTTGTGCACATGGAAATAAAATAGGGAATCACGAAAGTTTGGTTTCGTTGGTTGCATGGAAGTATAATTACGTGTATCATTAATTGGTTAATTGGTTTCATTGGTTAGTAATGTTGAAACCAAACCAAATCACCTAAACCAAATAAACTAAATTGTTTAACCAAACCAAATTAACTTAATATTATCGGTTAATATGGTTACCACGATAACCAATCCGTTTAAACACCCCTAATTGAGGGATATTGCATCCATGCATGCCTTATGTTTAAAATTGTTTTTAGGGCTTTGGGCGCCTCTCCTCTCCTCCTCCTAGGGTTTATGACTTAGCACTTCCTTCCAGACGTCTTCTCTGCAGCCTACATACTCTTGCTGGCACGCTACCTAATTTAACCTGTGCGTGGCTGCCTGCACTCTTTAGTCTTTACTTTGGGCGCCTTGTTTTGTGGAGGGCTTTTCTCCCCACAACTTGGCTTTCCCAATGTGACATTACTGACCAAATTTAATGCTGCCTACTTGGATGCAACTTACAATTATAAGAACAAGAAGAAAAGAAGAAGAAGAATACTCATATTGAAAGAAGATCTAATCTAAACCAAAAAAATGTCGATCTAATCTAGTTAGTACAGATTATGGAATTAAAAAATTATAATTTAACAAATAAACCAGGTAAATGACCATGTAAACAGAGTTGAAGTCAGTTGCTCAAGATTTAAAAACATATGGTGGTTGACACGAACACGGAACTGATGCGCGTAGTTATCAAAGTCGCACAACCAAGAACAATGGTTAGGATCAAGGTTGTCAACCTGTGGGTTGACCCGGACCCGGTTGAGCTAGTGGGTCAAGGGTTAATGGGTCACCCGTTTTAGCCCGGAAATATGGAAAGCGTCATTATATTGTACTTATCCTGATAAATTATATCAAATCTCATCTAACGTATGAGTTATAACATATAATATTACACCAAAATAAAATTTCGTACTTAGATTCAACATATAGTGAAAATTCACACACACTTATATAACATTAATATTCAAATGTTCAACTTAGAATTCCAAAGATTGAGTTAGGCGAAAAGAAAAATCGGAAAATAGGCGCATTTCGCAAAACAAATAAAAAAATGGCACAATTTGACCTCCAACCCGGTACCTTATAGCGGTCGACCCGGCGGGTGCGTGCGGCCCGTTTTTCTCACTGGGTCAGGTTCAAAGTGGGTCAATCCGCGGGTCGACCCGCGGGTTGACAACCTTGGTTAGGATTAAGGATATAACGAAATTGAATTGCTATCTCACATGTGGGAGAAGGCCCTATCAATATAGAGTAGAAGGTTGGCCACAATCAAGGGGAATACTCGATTCATACAAAGCACAATTCACAAGCTAAAAGCTCGATGAACCAAGAATAAACTCAATAATCTTCAAAAGTCTCCCTAAAACTCGAGTCTAAGTCTCTAAATAGGTCAAAGAAACAAAAACTAATAAAAAACTAGAGAAGAAAAAGAATTCTAAACACAAAAGGTAAGTTGACCTCATCAGCGCCCAATCCCCGGTCGCGTGCCTTCAGATCCCCGAATGTGGAATAACTCCCTCCCGACAAAGAAACTCTTCTGTTCCAATCCTCGGTCGTTTCTTTCTGATCCCCGGGTGGGGATTTGACCCTTTCTAGCCGGGGGTCCCTCTCTGCATCATCCCCAGTCTGAGCTGCTAATCCCCGGTCGGGGAATTGGTGTCCGCAGCTGGCCATTTTGTGCTATTCGGCCCTCCTTGCTTCCACGAGGTGTGCTCATCTCAAGGTTGTGAAACCACTTTATGCCGGTGTGCCGATTTTGAAAGTGGAGTGGTCCGACCGTGGTACAACCAGTATTCACGCCGGTTGTGCCGGTTTAAATAAAATATATGAGACAAATGGAAATCCTCAATTCCAAATAAATTAGTCATCAAAAAGCAATTAGAAAAATTATTTCACACAAAATAATTTATAGCTAAGAATTGGTAACTAATACTAAACAATTAGATGCTTAAAAATAAAAGTATATAAAATAAATTTTATTAATGTTTATAATGATTTGTGTAAAATTAAGTATTAGATATATAATATATAAGGTTAATATATACAACAAAGTTGCTTGTAGCCTACTGTGTATAAGTGAAACTAAAATGAACATGAGGTACTTGGTTCAAATCCTAAGGAAGGTGTTTATTTTTGGATAAAATATGTGTAACATTGAATTTCGGTTTCTGGTCTAACCGGTCAGAATTTCCGGATCTGACCAGCATTGACCGGATTTGACCACAGTTAAATACCGGCCTCTTTCCAGCCGGTTTGATGACCGATACTGGTTGTACTCGGTTGAACCGGCCGGCATGAAACCGCTTTGACAACCATGGCTCATCTTTAAACTTCGATGAGAATCACTTTGGTCACTCTTGAGGCTTGCATCAGTGGTGATCTGTAATATCTTATATTTTTCATCCTTGTAAAAGAATGAGATGGTGCTTTTGCGAGAGTCTCAGTCTGAATCGGTGAATTTGCACCTAATACATCTTTTCAGCGAGTTCAATAGTTTAACCATTTTTTTTTTACAAAAGATAATCATATAGATTGAGAACAATAGATCGTTACATCCTGGAATTCAGCCAGGCTTGGAAATTAAAAGATCGACATATAGTCGGGAACAAAGACAAGGCCTGTCTAGCTACCAAATGAGCTACCCTATTGTTTCGTCGACCTACAAATCGTACAGTGAAACCTATGGTTGAAGCAAAAAAAATTGACTATCTCTTCCAAAATTGCCCCTATCCGATTATCCCGAACATCCTTCCAGATAATTTTCTCAATTATCACCTGGGCATCAACTTCAAATCTCATGACAGTGAATCCATTAGCCAAACACCAGTCAATTGCCTCCCGTAGGACCAGAGCTTCAACCATCATTGGATCACCAAGGAATGGGAAATGAACCCCCTTCGCAAGGATAACCGCTCTATCAGAATTAAGGATAACCATCCCCCCTGCCAAGTGAGATCCCAACCGCACAGCCCCATTCCACATACAAATAGCTGTGACATGCCCATCATCTGTTACGATAGGGCCCGCGGGGGGTGGGGGGGTGGGGGGGAGGCAAGCTGATCATTCTGGTCCCGGGGTAAGCTACGCCATTCTTGCACTTGCTGGTGAAATTGCCGCATCAAGGCAGGGATCCCAAATGGTTTGCCTTCAAAGATCACCTAGTTACGGGATTGCCAAATCCGCCACAGAACAGCCACTATAGACACCACCAAAGCAGGGTCCAGCACCACAGGCAACAATTTCTTCAGAAAGAGCGGTAACGTGTGGCGAGGCAAACCTTCACCCAGGTGGGCCAACCCAGAATGATCCCACAATGAACGTGCCACCGGACACTCCAAGAACATATGTTCTAGAGTTTCCGATGTCGTCCAGCACACCGGACATCAAGGCAAACATCCACCTTCTTTTCTCGCAACGCTTCCGTAGTAGGAAGAATTCTGTGAAAGATTTGCCAGACAAACACCCTAAGCTTCGGAGGAATATCCGCCTCCCACAGCCTGATCCAACTAGGCTTATCCATCCAACTAGCCAAAGCCCTCCAGTGACCATTCTGACGATCCAGATTCACCGCGATGTAATACGCAGATTTAACCGTGAAAATCCCATCAGAGGTCGGAAGCCATATCAATTTATCCTCTATATTCTAGCGCGGCAAAGGGATGGTCTTAATGGCTCTACAGGTAGCTGGATCAAACCATTGACTGAGTTTTTGATCATTTCATCGTCCCTCCCCTTGCTGGATCACCTCCTCCACCTTCAAACCCTCACCATCAGAAACCATACACGGGTTGTCGACTGGAAGAAGGGGATGTTGCTGGGGGAATCCAGCTGGACGTTAGCAGAGGGGCCTTCTGACCATTACCAATTTGCCAACACAACCCTGATTCCAACAATTGACGGCCAAAGAGGATACTTTGCCACCCCCAAGAGGGACGAGAACGGGCCTGAGCAGTGAGAAACGTCCCATTGGGGAAGTATTTACCTTTATACATCTGGGCAATAAGGGACTGGGGTTCCTCAAGGATACGCCAACCAATTTTAGCTAGCAATGCTTGGTTGAAACCCCATGCCCCCTTCATGTTTACTTTTACACAAATTCCTCCAAGAAATCCACCGGATCTTAGATTTCCCTCTTCCACCCCCCACCAAAATCGGGCTATATGCTTGTCAAGAAGGCGACACAGAGCCAGGGGCAGCTTAAAACAGGACATAACATGCAGAGGCAAAGCTAATGCCACTGATTTATTCAATGTTTCCTTAGCAGCCCATGATAATGTTCGCCTCTTCCACCCATGCAATCTAGCCAGAAGCTTCTCCTCCAGGTAGCGGAAAGTAGCCATTTTAGAGTGGACTATCAGAGAGGGGAGGCCCAAATACTTATCTTGGACGCCTACAGCCCCTACTCCCAATATTGCCGCCAAGAATTCCTGATCAGCAACCGCTATATTTTTACTAAAGCACACCGCCGATTTCTCTAGATTCACTCTCTGACCACTCAGCTCCTCGTATTCATTTAGAACCTCGATCAAATTCTCACATTCTTGGAGGGAACCTCTAAGAAAAAGATAAGAATCATCGGCGAAGAACAAATGTGAGATACGAGGTGCACGAGGGGCCACTTTAACACCTTGTAGTTTCCCTTCCGAAATGGATTGACGGAGGAGAGCCGCGAATCCCTCCGTACAGATGACAAATAGAAGTGGAGATAACGGATCACCTTGTCTGAGCCCTCGAGAAGGGGAAAAAAACCAGCTGGGGTACCATTCATAAGGACTGAAAAAGATGTAGACTGGAGGCATTCCTGAATCCATCCTCGCCAGACCGAGTTAAACCCCATTTTTTCCCAGAACCCCTAAGAGAAAGGGCCATTCGACTCTATCATAGGCCTTTTCCATATCAACCTTCAGAGCCATATATCCCTTCTTCCCACGAGTTTTGATTTTCAGGTAGTGCATTAGCTCATGCCCTAAAAGGATATTCTCCACTATCTGCCTCTCCCGAATAAAAGCATTCTGGCCATCGGAAATAATTTGGGGCAATATACAAGCGAGTCTCCCTGCCATGAGTTTAGTAATTACCTTATACAAAAATTGGCAGAGACTAATAGGACGCATTTGACGAATTGATTCAACTTGATCCACCTTTGGATTCAAAGTCAACCAAGTATGGTTAAAGCTTCGAAGCATCCTACTAGTTTCAAAAAACGAGCTCACCGCTTGAATCACCGATTCCCCAACTATACCCCAAAAAGCTTTGAAGAACTTCCCAGTAAACTCGTCCAATCCTGGCGCCTGCTTGGACCCCATAGAGAAAACAGTTTCCCGTATTTCATTAGGGAGGACTTCAGCAGTCAGGTTCGCATTCATTTCCGGGGTAACACAAGGGTCAATGGGGAGAGCATTCACTCTTTCGTGCATATTAACAATCTGGTTTTCTGATGTGAATAGAGTCCGATAAAAATTGGTGGCAATATCTGCCTTTCCGCGCTCCTCCGTGGTCCATTCCCCATCCTCATTATAAAGACCAACAACAAAAATTTTCTTCCGACGAGCCCTTGTGACCGTATGGAAATAGGCCGAGTTCTTATCCCCCTTCTTAAGCCAATTAATGCGAGATTTTTGTTGCCAGTAAACTTCCTCGGCCTCCCATTGCCTACTCAATTCAGTTTCTAACCGGGTCACCTCTTCCTAGTCAATAGGGTGAATGGCTTTTAGCCGATCAATCTCGCCTTGCAAGGTATGAATATTCCGTAGAGAATTTGTGGTACCAGCTCTGCTCCAATCATACATCAAATGGCGGAGTTTCTTCAGCTTTTCCCATAACTGGAACATTGGGGTACCAGAGATGTTTTCTTGCAAAACGTAAGCCACCATAGCCTTGACTTCGGGATTATCTTCCCAGCGAGCATCGAACCAAAAGAGAGGGCGACAACTCCGCGTATAGGGCAACAACTCCGCGTATAATCAGATCTTGATCCGTGAAGTGCTTAACTAGAGTTTCCGGATATCGATCTATCCAACTCTGAGAACAGAGAGGCCTGTCAAGCCTTGCACGAATACAGGCCAAACCCATAAGTCTATTAGTCCAGGTGAAATGGTCCCCCCTAAAAACCCGGATTATGCATACCTAACATTTGAATAAGATCCCGGAGATCCTAAGTTTGAGCAGCATTCCAAGGATTCCCTCCATCTTCTTCATTATCGCAAAGGGTGGCATTAAAATCTCCTATAATCACAAAGGGTACATCAAGGCCCTCACAAAGCTCGCGCAACTGGTCAATTGTATTCCTCGTCTCACAACATTGCAACTCATATACACGCAAACAACAATATAAGAAAACCCATTCTCATTAATCCGAGTACAAATGCAAAAATTTGAATGAAAAAACACCGAAGCCTCAACTTCAGGGGACCAAGCTACTACTAGACCACCAGAACCATCAACAACATCAACAAAATAACAATGACTAGACTCAAACCCCAAACCCCGCATTCTAAGGGAAACGACTCTCCGACACGATCTTGTTTCTGAAAAGAACACAAGGTCTGGTTTATTCGAACGAACTAACCCGACAACAGTTTGGAATGTGAGGGATGATCCAATTCCTCTCACATTCCAGGCAAGAAGCCTCATTTATCCGACTGGGGCCAATCACGGCTGGCTACCTCCACCGGTTCAGTAGTGTCTTGTTCTTCCACAAACTGCTTTTTGGGCGTGGGACTCGTCCCAATACCACCCTCCAGCTCATCAAACGCCCGCTTACGAGTATCATTATCAAGATTACGAGTCTCATTTTCGAAATTAGAACCGTATTCGTTGAGCTTCGAAATCATAATCCCTTCTGCCTCCTGAGCCATATCCTTGTCGTCGTTGATAGTCATACTAGCTTCAAAAGCCGCAACCACCTGACGAACTTGTCCTGGGAGAATCTTCTGGGGAGGGACAACTGGCTGTTTCCTGCTCTTTATATCAAATTGGAGATTATCCTCCTCTGAGGAAGAGTCGACAGCAGCAGGCTGGCCAACCTGATTGACGACCCCCTCGACCACTGGGGCCGCCTCCTGAGGCTTTGGCCCATGGTTTTGCAGCTCATTCATTCTGAAAGGGGAGCCCACAGGCCCAGACAACGATCCCTTCCCCTTAGGCGAGCGGGCCGCAGTCTGCTTCTTGCGTCCCTTCTCCTTTCGCTGCTTTTCCGGGTCGGGCCGAGGAAGATCCCTTCTCCTTTCGCCTAGGACCATTGTGGGCCGAAGCCTTCACCAGCCCATCCGCGGTCAGCCCTTTCTTGACCAACCTTTTCCCCTTCTTCCTCCCATCCACACTCTCTTCTTTCCCCTTCGTCGGCGGCAGAGGTAACAGAGAATCATCCTCCGACTCCTCGAGAATCAGCTTGCGACGGCGAGCTTCTTGCGGGGTAATTTTAGCCCCCAGATCTGCCTTCGGTTGGCTAACCTCCTCGCCAGCAGGGCTGTCAGACTGACGAGTCTGGCCCTCACTGCCCAGCACCCGAGATCGGGAATGGATCCCTCGCTTTTTCGCATCACCAGCAACCTCGCGGTCCCCGACCTGTTCCGGACTTCGGCTAACACTCGGCTCATCAGTGAGAGCCCCATCAGGGGAGAGCGAGCTCCGGGATCGTCTCAATTTCACAACCGGCGACCGTGAAATCTTGAAGTCGCGCGGGCTCAGCCGCCGGTACCCTGTCGCTGTTTACATTGAGGTTGTCGCCGATGGGTGTTGAGAACGGCGGTATGGCTGGGCTTGATAGCTGCCCCCCTACTGTCCCTGAGCACCTGAACCAAATTTGCCATTCCCCTGCTGTCTAAAGTCTCTGTTAACCCACACCGAGTTCCCTCCACGGGGGAGGATTTGGAGTTGGTCATCATTGTCGTAGATTCGAGTCCCCATTTTCTTGGTAGCCATATGGGATCCAAAGTTCTCTTTCCGGGTTGGCGAATCAAAGGTGCATGCTCGACTTGAGTGTCCCACTCGGCCACAATGAAAGCAGAAGCTAAGAAGGTGCTCATATTTCAAGCTCACCCAGAAGCAACCAGTGTCATCATTCGCTGCCATAATCTGGGACCTTAGAGGCTTGGACAAATCTATGAGTGTCTTGACCTTCACAAACCAGCTACCCGTTTCCTGGCAGGCAAAGACGCCTGATTCCAAGACTTTACCAATAGTGGCATTCACCACTTTCCTGCCTAACTGTTGCGTGCAACAGTCTTCCTTAACATTCCACAATTGGACGCGGAATGGCGCAATTGCTAGCTCCTCATAAATCTGTTTCGTAATGATTGGCGTCCATGCCCGAAGATGGAGGATCTTGTCGTTGATCACCCAGGGGGTACGTTTGAAGACCCAAGTCTTCGCCTCCTCGCTGGGTAACATGAACTCAATTAGACCATGCTTCGCCAAAACTACTCTGATTCGTCCCTGAATCAGCCAAGGGGCGATTACCGATTCCCGCAGCTCCGTCGTCGATATCCTATTCTCAGTAAAGAGCATGCCAAGAAGAGAGTGTGCAGCTCGATATTTAGTCGGTTTCACCTCTTCCATCGAGAATTGAACCACCTGATCAGTCGAAACATGCGCCTTGTTGATAACCTGCGAGGCAGAGGGGAGAAGAAGCATATTAGTGTCCACCTCTTGCATAGGTTCAAGCACATTCGTGCCTTTCATTGGCCAATTTTCAGGCTGGGGAGCCAGGGAGCGATTAGAAGGAGGCATCCCCAATCCTTGCCGGAACGAGTAGGCAGAGGAAGGGAGAGCCAGTAGTTGTGGCATTCGAGGGAGGAGCGGGGAGCATAAGTTATTACCTGCGTCCGGGAACTGCCTGAGAGAAGAATATTTGCCCACCACCTGCGCCGTCAGCCGAATTCTGAAGAAGGAAGAAGTGAGAATTGATGGCCAAGGGTTCAGAGTTTTATAGGGGAAACCATATCTACTCTCAGGATATTCCGTAACCGCTTGGGGGTTTCGAGTTTGCCGCGAAGCAGGACTCCTCAACTCCCAATTTCCAAGTTTATCTGTCTTGCGAAAAATCCCCATAAAATTAGGGATCAGATATTGAGGAAGGATTCCTCTAACGACCACCCGCCGATCAAGGGCTCGGTTGAGGTGCGCATCGACAGGGTAAGTCCGGACACTGGTCCCTGTGGCGGGCGGTGTCGCTGGGGGTACATTTGAATTGATTGTGTTTCGCTCCGGCGATCCGGCCGGACAATCCTCGACAGGTTTTTGCAGGTCCAACAAGGACCTCGCTCCATTATCGATCAAAGTGTTATTCATAGGTCTCGCATCACCATCAATCAGCGGCAGCACAGGTATCTTCCTGGCTTCAATAACCAACTAATCCGGTTTCTCATTTTCCAGCTCTTCCATGGAGGGGATTACAAACCGCCAGGCAACCTTTCGTGACAGTCGCCGACGTTTGGAGGTATCGAGAACTTTGTTCTCTGCCAGGACAAGCCCAAACTTCCGTTTCTTTTGCCATTCTTTAGGATTGCAGTCTCTTGTACAAGCCACTCCATATTTGTGCTGGCCACCACCATCACGTCGTCTGTTCCAAACAGGGGGCTTCTCAGGTTTTGATTCTACATTTTCTTGAAAAAGTGAGAACCCAATCTGCTCGCTCTGCTCCCAAGCCTTCGAGAGACACTGATTTCGCAGACAACGAAGGAAAATGGCATGGATCATTGAGAGCAGGAGACGCCCAAACTCTCTTCCCAGACGGAGGAGAGAGAAGAGAGCTCCTTGCATTTTATTTTATTTTATTTATTGTTATGTGCCCGACCAATAGTTTAACCATCTAGATTACGACATGGTTAGCAAAATATATTGTGTAGATTTGGTGAAATTTTCAATTTACTTTTATATTTTTATAAAGGGTTACAAATTGCATCATGATAATGGGATTAACTTTTCTTGCTATGTTTTTATTTTTATTTTTTATGTCAATCTGTATTGAGCTTTATTAATCAGAAACTGTTGTTACATCGTCCAGCCGTAGCTTATCAATCACAATTATCGGTGGCCTATCTAGCCATACTACTGGTGAGTTCAAGTTTGTATTACATTTGATCATTAGATGCGCCGCTTCATTCACTGTCCTTTTATTAAAGCGGATCGCCTCTTCTAATCTCATCCCAAGGGCCGTCTTGATACTCATGCTATGTTCAAACTAGTGGTAACGTACATTTTAACCTGAGTTGTGCTAATTTTTTCCCCGCAGTATCGCTAATTCAATAGCTTGAAAATAGTTAATTTAAAATACAAAAAAAAAAAATCGTTGTTTTCCAGTTTAACGGTACATTTGTTTGGTTGCCAAAGGTGAATAAGTATTGTTGATCCTTCTTCGTAAATGCGTACATTGGAGCAGGGGCGGAGCTAGGTAGACTCTTGGAGGGGCCCCGGCCCCCCGAAAATTTTGAAAGTTACGTGTAAACGTTACGAGCATCTCGACATTTTCGTATAAACTAAATAATAATTAAATATTTTTTAGTGCATCAATATGACACAATAATTGTTAGTAGTGTAGCAGATGTAGAGCCCGCTTGCTGTTGCTAGGTCTATGGTTTGAAACCTACAGCAAGTAAGTTTTAATTTTCTAATTAAATACCCTAATAAATAGTTTCTTTTTACCTTTTTAATTAAACGCCTATTAAACAGTTTCCTTTTATTAAATAGTTTTCTTAGCTATTTATTTTTCAACTATGAAAAAAGAATGAGTTATATAATAATTAATTATTTTTTTTTATTTTCTAATTTTATATTAAACATGTCATGGTATCAGTGTATATTTTATTTTGAGTGAAAATGTAACGTGTTTCTTAGCTATTTATTTTTCAATTATGAAAAAGAATGACTTACATAATAATTAATTAGTTTGTTTATTTTCTAATTTTATATTAAACATGTCATGGTATTAGTGTATATCTTATTTTGAGTGAAAAGGTAACGTGTTATACTACATTGAATTACATTTTAATTGATTTTTTATCTTAATATATTTTGAATCTATCATGTTAGAAATTTATACTTTAGATCTCGTAATTAGTTATTTTAATTATTTTTTTTAAAAAAGTACAGTTATAATATTATTACAAATATGTTTTTATCATTATTTTAATTAATTTTAACGCCCTTTCGTGCTTATAGATTAGGAAATCCGGCCCCCCGACGACCAATTCCTGACTCCATCCCTACACTGGAGTATAGTGTGAAAAACGAATAGTAATTAGACTATTAGAGTCATTATGTAATGCTTTTTTATGTTCTGATTTGCTACTAGGACTTTTAAGTTTACTGTATATCAAGGTTGTCAACCCGCGGGTCGACCCGTGGGTCAACCCACTTTGACTCTGATCTGGTGAGAAAAACGGGCCGCACACACCCGCCGGGTCGACCACTATACAGTATCGGGTTGAAGGTCAAATTGTGTCATTTTTTTCTTTGGTTTGCGAAATGCGCATATTTTCCGATTTTTCTTTTCGCCTAACTCAATCTTTGGAATCCTAAGTTGAATATTTGAATATTGATGTATATAAGTGTGTGTGTGAATTTTCACTTTATGCTAGATCTAAGTACGATATGTTATTTTGGTGTAATATTATATGTTATAACTCATATGTTATATAAAATTTGATATAATTTATAAGGAAAAGTACAATATAATGACTCTTTCCATATTTCCGGGCCAAACCGGACTAGAACGGTTGACCCATCAACCCTTAACCCACTAGCTCGACCGGGTCCGGGTCAACCCGCGGGTTGACAACCTTGCTGTATATATATATGAGCCATAAGGGGTAATAATATAATCTTTTACCGGTTTGATGAATGAAATCACGACTTCCTTTTTACACCCGCAACCGGGAAGGGTGGATCACAGCTAGCTAGTGCATTATTTCTTTACTCTTGCTTCCTTCTGTTAAACTTGGAGGAAGAACATTAAACAAAGACCTGCACAATATATCAAATATTTGATGGACATTGGAGTGTAGAGAGAACGTTGGCTATTTGTTATTATTATTTTACATTATGCTAACTAAATGAGTAAGTGAAAGTCTTTATTGGTAAGGAAAAGGATTTGTCA